CAAAGATAATTTACAGCTTTGCTTATCTTCGGCCCACACTTGAACTAAAAATATACTTTTCTGTTATAAACCTGTGTATTTATTTTAGGTATGTATCATGCTTGAATGAGAGATAATTTGCAGTTAGTAGCTTGTCTATTAGCCATATTTGAACTAAAAATATAACTTTCTGTTTTAAACGTGTGTATTTATTTCAAGTATTCATTTTGCTCAAATCAAAAGATAGTTTGAAGTTTATAGATCTGCTCATCTTTGGCCAATAGTTAAACTAAAAATATAACTTTTCTGTATTCATTTTAGGTATGTATCATGATTGAATCAGAGATAATTTATGGCGCATTGCCTTGTTTTCCTACCACACATATTTGAACCAAAAATAACGCTTTCGTAACGAAATAAATTTGATCATGAATGTGTGTTTTGATGAATTTGACAACTTGAATTTCGATCTATTTTTTATCATGATTGATGAACAATTTGTTTTCACAAAGTTTTGGCGACCACTTGTGAAAATACTTCTGGTTTATTAACCAATTACTGACAAACTATTCATGATGTAATAATTCTATTTTGACTTCGTTGTCTTATGATGTTCAAAGAATTACTTATAAATATAAAATGATTCAACATCATGGTGTGACATGGTTTTGAGATACATCAGCTTGAAAATTCTGAATAGAAAAGGATTGCTGAAAAACGTAGGCCTAATATAAATATATTGAATATGGGTTTCTGTGCTGCAAGCTTTCTAATCCTTGTGTATACAAATCGGATTCGCATATGCATGATGTGAGAAGGCTTAAATGCACTTGCATGCCAATTCGAATGTTTTTCTGTAACATTTTTTAGACTCAAAGTTGGATTCAGACTCATATAACCCAAGGCACGGCGATGTGGCTCATCGTGCTAAGCGTTAGGAATATGCTCGCCACCGCACTTCTAATTACTCTGCGTGGGTTCGCAGGTTCGAATCCCATGCGGGATGTTTATGTGCGAGAGGATTGCTGGACTCCTCGCTGCCGTAGGGTGGTTCACGTAACCACAGGTCGGTTGCGGTCTCATCCACCAATAAGCCCATGCTTCCGAAAAACAAAGAACTAACTAATCCCATACCCGACAGAGAATGGTAACCGGACGGGAGGCCGTGGTTCGCCATGTGGATAAGCCGTCTTATCCGTTTTTCTCTTCCCCGGGATAAATATGTAAATCCTATCCTATCCTAATTGTCTTGAAAAAGTCTGACTTTAAGCAGATGTAGAGCTAAAATCTGAGATGACAATCATTACGTTTGGGTCGGGCTTCTCTATCACTGACTTTATTTTTGAATGAGGCGTTTTGACCAGGAGAGACTGTGGTCTGCAAAAAGTTGCCTCATCAACATGACACATACTGTACTAAATTCTTGCAATGACAATTCAAAGAACTCCCAAATAAAATATGAAATTTCGGGTCCGCTTCTGGCTCAGGACTGCAAATTCAGTTAAATAGTCGGGATTGGGTCAGGTTTAATACCCACGGGTATGGGTGGGCCGAGCTGGAATTTTTGGGCCCGATCTTACCTTTATGATAACACATACAATGATATTTACGGTTTTTTAATTTCCAACTTGGCAGGGCATTCTTCAGAGTGAACGCAAAAGTTGAAAAATTGCATAAATAGAATTTATTTTGCATTCGTTATATCTTTATAATACAATGATTCTGGTTTGCAGTAGGACCTCTAGATGTTTCATAATATCCAGCAATGGCTATGCTTTTTATACTATTATTTTGGGGCTCCCGAAGTATGAGAATCTAGATGGCGGACATCGGAATGTAATATGTGTACTAGGTTAGGGTTAGGCCATAATTTTATGTATAAATACTACGGGAGGCTCTTAGCTAGTCTTCGAACTAATATTAGGACTAAAATAAGGAAAATTGGAAAGAAATTATCGCCTAACCCTAACCTGCTACCCATGTTACGTTCCGATGTCCGCCATCTTGGTTCGCATACTTCGGGAGCACCATTATTTTTATACAGTGGGAATTATTAAGGGTTCAAACAATGTAGCTTTCTATTGTAACAATTCAAACATTGTTTATCTTTGTGATACACGGTCTAGTAATTTGATACGATGTGTTTTGTTTTTACAGAATCTTGTATATAAAGAACATAATGTAATTAAAATTTGAATGGTAGTTCAAAACAGGATAAAATTTCATATCCAACTAGGGAGAGAGGAAAGTCGATAAGGCGGACTATATTCATCTATTTGGAGAAACATGAAATTGTATCTCGTTGATCATAGATGGGTGTTGCCTAGTATATGGTCTATGCATTTGAAATAAGTATCTGTTAAAACAAAGATGCACGGTAGGTGCTTTTTAAGCGCTCCAGAAGTATGTGTACCAATATGGAGGTAACTAATTCTGTTCGCCACTTTACAACCTGTGGGCAGGTGGGATATTCATTTGGCTAACATAGACAGTCCCTGAACTTGTTATAGAACTAAAATGAGGAAAATCGGAATAAAATGTGACCTAACAACCTGGTACACACACTACGGGAGTACTTCTTTTTTATCTGGTATATTATCGTAGTCGGAGACAATTTTATACCAATGTGTTTCAATAAGGAGTTACAGGAGATTGGAAATCAAAAATTGATATTTTTTGCTCATCTCCAAAGAAATTGTATTTCAAAGTATAACACTTTTATGTTGAAGCCCTCAATTTGCCTTCAAAGGCCATTCTTTTGTTTTTCCTTCCCCCAGATGTTTTATTTTATGCTTTGCCACAACAGACATATTGATTACAATATTAATTAGCTGCAGTTTAATAACAATGAAATGTCGCTCAAGCGTGAATAATCAGGTTTGTCTTTCATCTCTCTTGAGGGGATGTTTGTCAAAGTAACAGTTGTTAAATGAGTTGACTTGAGTGAAAAATCAATTTCAAATGTGAAGCTGAACTGTTCAATGCAAGAATTTTAAGCTTTGAGGGATTTGCTTAGGTCTTATTGGACTAGATTCAGGAAGCACTTTTTAGTTCTGAGCACAGAGTTTTGAACTGTTAGTTTGTTGCTGTTCAAGGTATGTTTCATTAGTGGTGCATGCTTGACTTTTGTATACTGCTGACATTGCGATCTAAAGTGTATCAAGAATTAGCGAGAGTGTGGTCTTTAAGAGTGTAAGAGTGCGGGAGGTACGAATAACATCTTGCGAAAGTCTAAACATTTTAAACTTTAAACAATTTTTACTCATTTTCTGACAGGATTTTAAATGCCTTTTTTATGGATGTTTGTTAGAATAACAATTGTTAAACGGGTTTACCGTATTATCTGAAAAAAAATCACATTTCAATGGTAATTAAAGGTTTGAAGAATTGTGAAGGACTTGCAAAGTATCTTTATTACTTATCGATCTTTAGATGAATTATGTCGTATAATTAGCGAGTTTTAATTAATTATTGATGGGACACGCGATGTCACTATAGATTCATGAATCGAGACCGCAGTTTGGATCGATAAGTCTTCGGTCTCGGTCTCGGACCGATATTCTCGTTTTTTTTCTTGTTGAAATCTGAATTTATTTCTCCGGCATGTCAGTTGAAGTAACAGTTGTTAAATGGGTTTATACTGGTACAGTCGTTCTCAAAGGGTGGGTCCTGACCCACAAGGGGGCATAGACTATTTTTTGAGGGGACTTGAAGCTAATTAAAAATGGAAATACTCGTTAGATTTTATCTTACCCGCCTTATTTTAGATATTTACATTTCAAAATTTGGGGCTCCCGAAGTATGCGAACCAAGATGGCGGACATCGGAATGTAATATGTGTACTAGGTTAGGGTTAGGCCATAATTTTAGGTATAAATACTACAGGAGGCTCTTGGCTAGTCTTCGAACTGATAATAGGACTAAAATAAGGAAAATTGGAAAAAAATTATCGCTTAACCCTAATCTGTTACCCATGTTACGTTCTGATGTCCGCCATCTTGGTTCGCATACTTCGGGAGCACCCAAAATTTTTTATATATTTTGGTATTTACGTCCCATCTATGTATTTTCAACGTGTTTTTGAATAAAACATGCTTTCGCCGTACTGTCTGTTATTTATAGCTTATTGTTAGCTAGATATTTTCGATATGGGCCGCGAGACTTGACAAATTCTAAAAACAGCGTAAAAAGTTTGACAATCACTGTAATAGTACTTAGAGAAAAAGGTCGGTGCTCCCGAAATATGCGAACCAAGATGGCGGACATCGGAACGTAACATGGGTAACAGGTTAGGATTAGGCGATAATTTTTTTCCAATTTTCCTTATTTTAGTCCTATTATCAGTACGAAGACTAGCCAAGAGCCTCCTGTAGTATTTATACCTAAAATTATGGCCTAACCTAGTACACATATTACATTCCGATGTCCGTCATCTTGGTTCGCATACTTCGGGAGCCTCAAAAGGTCAATTTTAAACTTGATTCTAAACTGTTCAACTCAATTGTGGGAGATTTGTATGTAAAGGATCTTTGATTTTTAGTTTGAGTAAAATTTTAAGACGGTTTGTTATTAATTTATTTTCTAATAATTTCATTTATAGAGTAGGATAGAATATCGGTGAGATTGGGGAAAACTTTTCCAAAGTTCAAGTCATTTTTATATAGCATTTTCATAACATGGCGTAGTCTTTTTATACCTTATGTGTTGACTGACTGGAACATGCTTCATCTCTGATATTTGCATATCCTTAAGATGGTGCTAAAGAGTCAATATTTATCTGACCTCACTAAAGGTGAAACCTCTTGAGACTACTGAATCCTTCTTATGTCAATAATAAACCAAGGTCACCACAATAAAGCACACACTTCTGAGAATAAGAAAATAAAATATAGTTTATTAATATCACATTAATAAATAGGTAAAATTCCTTGAATGAACAAAGTAAAATTTTAAAGAATTTCTAGAAAATTTCAATACGGTTGTGGTTATATGAGACTAACTATTCTTCCTCTATGCTAGTGTGTATAATGCAAGAATTTTGAAATAAGGGAGAAAAGAAACAATGTGCAATTTACTATTAATTCAAAACTTCATCTTGCATATTGGATAATATCAGATCAAGACTGATATCGACGCATAATTCTAATTGTTACATCGTTTCATAATTGTTGATGATAAAGCCAAAATTTCCCGATCTAATCAAAAACTGTATGTACATTTAGATATTCTTCGCGGCCCACCTTGAATAGCTTTGCAACCCACTGGTTGGGAAGCACTGTCTTAGTGTGTTATATTCTGGGATGAAAAAGACATCTGGTTTTGTTGTCTTTCCGTCATATTATCTTGTTTTTATAACTGGGCATCTATAACTTGCAATTTTATGAATCCATTTTTATTTTTCTCTGTGTATTGTACTTTCATATGTCAGTATAAGCTACAGTAACCATGTCTCCTGTTCCATCGTTTTTAACAAATGAAAACGCTTTAACAACTTCAGTTTTTTGCGTTTTAAAAACGTCCGTCTCGATATTGAATTCCGATTTTCCGAGCGTTGCTCCGTCTAAGGAAAGACTTTTCACCCAATCTTCAGTATTTTGGTCGTTCACACGTAACAAGTCAGAAGGATCCAGCTGCGTTTTATCGTTCATATTTTTTATCCTCATCCTTTTGAATTTTGTAAGAGTTATAAATTGTTTTTCGCCAGTTGTAAAATCGCAACCGATTGTGTTTAGGACCTCAATTTCTTTTCCGTTGAGATATTCCGAAAATGCTGATGCGTTTGTGTATACTGTTGTGCTGTCATAATGAGGGTTGCAGCAGATTGTGACACGAGGGTCTTCAATTGTTGGGGAACCTAAAAAAATCATGAATGAGTTGTATTTCAGTATTGTTACAGAAATATATTTGTGTTAATGTGCAGCAAGACTCGTGAATCACTTAGGAAAGTTATTTTTAGTCTTGCTATAGCATCCTTGCATTAGGCGCATACAGAAACATCAGCCAAATACATGTAGGAAGAATAAGTAGTTAGTCATTACTAACCTAACTGAAATATTGAAGTAAGGTGTGTGGGCAAGGCATATAAAAGAATCTAGTTTAATAAAAATAATTAAATTAGTGCAATTTGGAAAAACAGTTGTTTGAGACATGTTTTGTTTATTTTCCAATTTGGTAATTTCTTAGAAAATTGATCAAGAAAATTGAATATTAAAGTGATTTTTAAAAGATTGACCCATTTCACAACAAAAGAAGCTCAATTCAGTTTTTTCTATTTTAATTGTATAAATGGACCATTACTGCAGGAGCGTAGCCAGAAAGATGGGGTTTTGAGGGTCAGAACCACCGTTTTTAAAATGCAAAAAATAAGAGCTTAAAGCCCTGACTTTGTATGTCGTTATAATCTTGCTCTGGCCTGCCCCTAGTGTATATAGGCTACCAAACGACTTCCGGAACAAATTAATTTTGTAAGTACAGTTTCTACTGTATTACATTTACAAACCTGTTATATCTGTTTGGTAGCCGCCTTCTCCAGCACAGAAACCAGGACCACCATGTGCAGACTGGCAACCAGTGTATGACTCTCCAAAAATTTCTGGGCAGATATTATAAGTTCCATCATTCGCAAAATTTTTGTCGATTTCGATGTACGTCATTCCGTTTGCAGCCAACGCAAGATGGCTGCGCAAGATTAAGATGATGTAGATTGTAGATATTACATGTAATTTTCTGGTTGTAGTTATCTCCATTCTAATATTTTTCAAGTTGTATTGGCTATTAGTTAGTTACTTTATTTAAGAATATCTGGTATTCAGCAAAATTGATGACACTTTTTTCTTTCTTTTTCATTTAATAAAAATAGCATTTGTATCGATTTTTAACAAACTGAAAAAATTAAGAGTTGGAACAGAGATCTTACAGGTCTATAATTTGCTCAAATTTCAGGTTTGTTCAAAGCAAGGTCTCAAAAAGTGGAAAGAGTACTAATGTACAATAGGAGTTGACTGACAAGCTGATAGCTATATATAGACTTATATTGGAAAAGATATTTGTTTCAGGATTTACGAGCTAAGGGGTCTCTGCGTAAATCGACATTTAGTGACATGTAATATACATTGGCGGGTCGCATATATGGATGATACTATTTATAATAAAAATCAAGCAGTGATACATCTCTCTATTAGAATATAGATTTATTTCCTCATTGAATTGCATCTCAAAAAAATCCATTTGAATATTTTCGTTGCCATTGAACCCTTTGCACTCAGCATCAATTTTTCTGCGTTTTGTTGCCATTTGTCTAATTATAATGAAATAGGCTAATTGAACGAGTAATTGTGAAATATATACTTGATAGGTTATAATATAATTTAGTCTACACTTGTCTTGCAATAAATTCTGTTACGTATAGAATATAATCGTCAAAACAGTTGATTTGTTACTATAATTCAGTGAAGCGTCGCGGGCCGGATTACAGTACTCCGCGGGCCGTAGGTTGCCGACCCATGTAATACATCATAGATACTCAAAGTGCTTCATACGAGCCCCCAGGGCCCCTGTGAGAGAAACCTACGGGCTTCGCGAGTTATTTTTTTACTTATTAAAATACTGACTTGGCTAATTTTGTTTGTCCCAAGAAGCAATAATGATATGAATAAAATTTGACAAGCAGCAAATACAACCATTATTAAATAAAGTAATTTTAATTACCGGTACTCAATAACATTAATTGGCAAGTAACAATGTGTTTTTGGGGGCTCCCGAAGTATGCGAACCAAGATGGCGGACATCGGAATGTAATATGTGTACTAGGTTAGGGTTAGGCCATAATTTTAGGTATGAATACTACGGGAGGCTCTTGGCTAGTCTTCGAACTGATAATAGGACTAAAATAAAGGAAATTGAAAAAAAATTATCGCTTAACTCTAACCTGTTACCCATGTTACGTTCCGATGTCCGCCATCTTGGTTCACATACTTCGGGAGCACCTGTTTTTGTTTTCTATAAATTTATTGTAGGACTCCTTTAATAATAGTTAATCCCTACACATGCTCCATAACACCAAAAGTTTGAGAACCCCTATAATACACCATAATTCTATATTGTTTCAGTAGCGCTCAGAATTTCTGTCGCCGCCTGCACAATATTGAACAGAACTGCTCCACTCGATCGATTTAAATTTCACATTACCTGAACTAGTTAACAACCTTGATCAATTTACACACTTCAGTGCCTGTCAATCGGGGAATGCCCATAAGTTATCTCGTGAGTTCGATTAGAGATGTTGCCATGTACAATTTATGGCAATTAATTTTCATGTCTTTTGGATTTTATATGTGGTTCAGCTGCCAAAGCCATTCTCATTCATATTGAAAGTGTTCTAAAAACGTAATTTCTTTAAAAAAAATGAAGTTAGATATTGAACCTCGGGTGTCGCTGCTCGATAACCATTCCTGGTTCCCCGCGACTTCCCTTCCCCAGTAAAAAGCTGTTTTCAGTTTCGTATTTTGTTAATTTTGTATGTTATTTTTTACTGAATGAGGAAAAATAAATTTGACTATGACAATAGCTCAGAGGTGAGTCCCTTTCACTTATTAGTGAGTGTGTATGACCTTACTTTGAGCAAATTCTCTTGAAAAAAAGCAAATTGGTTGGCCTTTACTTTTACTTATAAATAACCCTCTTTAAGTTATGAGTGAGTGTTCTAATCCTTAATTAGAACCGCTTACCATTATCTACATACGTTTTCACTGTGATGAGTTCAAACCTTCATTTCATTTCCAACTACCGGTAACTATAATAGGTAGCCTTATAATATCAATATGTCTACCCAAGTTATGGTTCTCCAGAAGTGTGTGTACCAATATGAAGGTAACTAGTTTTGTTTGCCTATTTTTACATCGAATGGCTAAAACAGACAGTCCCCGAACTTGGAATAGAACTAAAATAAGGAAAATCGGAATGAAGTTATGCCCTAACCCTAACCTGGTAAACACACTACAGGAGTACCCAACTAACTGTAATAGGTAGCCTCATCATACCAATATTTAGACACAGTGAAGCATCTCTAAGTACTTATGTCGAGCGGCAATCATCTCTTTTATTTCTATGTTTCCTATTGATAGTAACGTATCCCAATTGACAGAAGTGCTACTTATGTTATGAGCGTACCTATGTCAAGTGATTTACTTCAATTTTCATTTTTTAAGAACTACTTGTCTATTTTATTAGCAATATTTGTTATTTTTATTATTAGAAAAAAAACGTAAATCGAAAGCTAATTGTTGCGATACTTTATTCTTGTCTCAGGCCAATAACATTCTTCAAAATTTAACGTAAAGCTTCATGTTACTTTGTATGTTTATGGAGTGTTTTACTTTCTCACACTTGCCATAAACTAGGCATTGAACAAGCAGTCTCCTATATACATACCGGTACATAGATATCGTGTTTTCAAAAATGAATTTCTTTCCAAGATTTTTTTCAATAATTCATGCTTCATAGAATACCCCACTCATCTAGTCTTTCCATTGATTTGACTTGATTTATTTTAAATATATTGTCAAGAATTAACCAGTATATAAATAACATTGGTCAAAAAGCAATAAAAATGGATTAGAAATATAAAAATAGTTTAGACTGTATTTAGAATAGTAGATTGTCCGATTTTGACCATCCCTGGTCATTTTTCAATGCTTAATTAAGCCTGTCTGTTAAATAATCTTATTCTCAGACATTCACAAGTAAATTTTATGTCAATTATGTTTCAAGAATTTATGTTTTGTGTAGTTCCTATCCACCTAACATCTATGTCCAAGATGCTTCCTTTACCGTCTTAACTGTAATGATTTCACGTTAACAGTTTTACTAGCATGACTTACTCAATTTTCTTATCTCCCCCTGTTTTGTTTCTGGTTAAAATCCTGCTGACAATGCAATTTTTCTTCAAGCTAAAAAACTAACTTTCACTGGACTTTTTCATCAAACGTGAAAAAATAAGAGAAAATAAAATTCTACAAGTATGCAGTGGAAAATATCAATCACTAGAAACTCATTTATCTGTACAAAATTTCCATCATTAGTTAAAAAACCACTTTGTCTTTCCTTCAAGCAAAAATCTTTTTAGCCTTTTGTTTTTGCTTCCGTGCTGGAATTATTTTTATGCCGTTCATTCTTTTTTTTCATTTTCAATGGGGTGAATCTGACCATGGCAGCCATCGTTAGAATTAGTGAAGTGTTTGTGACGGTTGTTTACTTCTTGCTAATGATTTTTCATTCATACCAAGCCAATATGGATGAATATAATTGAATGAAAACGCGAAAAAATGGATTAGGAAAATAAACATCCCGGATGCTTTGGAATATACTTTTCAGATTAAATTCTGAATTTATTTTTAAATCGCTAAATTCACTATATTGAATATAACAATTTAAATTTTACTCTGAACAACATCTGAAAAGAAGTAAATCTAAAATAAATTCTTAAAGATTTTTGTAATAAAGAATTCACTTCCTAAAATGTAGATAATTATATTTAATTTATTTTGTAGATCGCTAGTTTAAAAAGGATTGGTTCAAATTTCGCACCCCCTGCATCAAGGGTGTAAGAAATTGGGTAAGAAATGATAAACCAGAAAGATGACGGGGTCCTTCCAGATAATAGTAACTCTTTACATATCGTTAGATATTTGTATAAAACCTTGTTTGGAGCAAAACATGTGATTGAGTGCCGCGTAAAAAAATAGGGGCTCCCGAAGTATGCGAACCAAGATGGCGGACATCGGAATGTAATATGTGTACTAGGTTAGGATTAGGCCATAATTTTAGGTATAAATACTACGGGAGGCTCTTGGCTAGTCTTCGAACTGATAATAGGACTAAAATAAGGATAATTGGAAAAAAATTATCGCCTAACCCTAACCTGTTACCCATGTTACGATCCGATGTCCGCCATCTTGGTTCGCATACTTCGGGAGCACCAAAAAATATATATTGCAATGCATGCTTCTGTAAACAAATAACTGGCTAAGTAATCTCATGACCGACATGCACTGGTAACCGGATGAGAGGCCTTGGTTCGTCATATGATTAAGTCTTCTTATCGGCTTTCTATTCCCCAGGATAAATATGTAAATCCTATCTTAATCATTAACTCATTGCCACATACTGGTAACTAGATTTTATGATAAAATTCCAGCCATTTTGTCTGTCGTTATACACAAACCCAGGCGACCTATCTAAACAAACCTAACACCTGTTCTCATAACCAATCACCAATATCACAAGATAAGCACAATTTATTGCTCCTATGACATTGTTAAGAAGGCAATTCAACCCATTGTGTTTTATTTTGAGCTCTTTTTACTATTTTTTAATATTCGCCTGAAATATTGATTGATATTTTTGACCGTAAAATGACAGTGGGTGTATCAAAAATGATCACCGGTATACCGGGGTTTTCTATATATTTCAAGATTCATGCTGCACTCTAGCACAAATGTATTAACAATAATGATGTATAAAGTTGCAGTTTGGTTTTATATTATAGTTGACCCATTTTATTATTTTTCTTCATTATCACTCGTAATAAAACTGTCATCAATACCCCTAAAGTACGAGATGTACTGATATCTACAAAAAAGACAAATCCTAATCTGAATTATTATAAAACTTGGCTTGCATTATAGTTTTATCAAAAATTTGTACTTTAGAATTCAGAGTAAAACTATTATAATAATCTAATCATTATTTTCAATTCTGAATAATATTATTTTTCTACTTTTTTTAAGTAATAAAACTTTCATCAATACACTTTGAAGACAAGATGCCTCATTCAACAATACTTAAACTACACTTGTACTCTGTGTATTGCTTCCCTTATTCCTTGAGCACCTCTTAAAAATCATTGGATTATAGTAAAGTAGAAATTGCGGTGTAGCCAGGTTTTTGTTTTGATTTTACTGTCTTTTAATCATTTTTTTACTCTTCCATTCTTAGCCAGAATTTGACAACCTTACCTTTTGAAATGTTAAAAAATAAGCTTTTTTCTGTAACATATATAGCATTTTTTGTATCCTAAAACGCTTTTTAGACTTTCGAGACTTTTGGGAAACTCAGGTTTTTCTCTGGCTGTTGCAGTCTGACTTGGCAATTAGAAATTTCAGAAATCCCCGGATTCTGTTTTCTTCCCAGATTTTTTTCTATTCTCTGCGTTTCATTTTTGCGAATGTATTGAAATAAACCTATTAACCTCTCAGTTTCCTGATGGTACTGTAACCCAGCTAGGACGTATCGTACCCATGGTGGCTACAAGATGTTGTGGGTCAGAAAATTTTTTAAATAAAAAAAAAACATTTTCCTGTATCATAATTTTGTAATTTGAAATGCTTATTAGGTCCCTAAGATTTTTAAAAACCATGGACCTGCTAGCTGTTACTGTTTAACTTGGTAATCCAGAATTTCAGAAGTTCCCCCCTCCTTCAAAATTTCTGTCTGCGCACCCAGGAAGTCTCAGTAACCCAGGAAGAGCAATTCCAAATCAAACCTTTTTCAGAACCTCACAACTAAACTGAATAATGGCTATTGACAGACCCTTATTTAAATAATACTGTAACCACGAATAAATAAGATTTGAGCACTGAATAATAATAGTTTCCGAATTCAGAAGGGAATCTGAATGATAGCTCATTATTAAACACTTTAATTTTAGTCTTTGAATCGAAATATGGGCCATGCCTGAGATAGGTATTTTTAGATATAGGTTATCTATAATTTAACCATGGCCAAGGTTAAATATCATCATTATTGTTTAAAGGATTAAAGGAGGAGCGCTTTAAAAACTTGGGTTTGGCATTTCAATACTTGCTAAGTCAATATTACTTTTTCTATTGTAATCACATTGATCCTATTATTGCAGGACGCTCCCTTTATTCAAAATAAAAATTTGGGCTTCTACTTGTCAAGAATTGCCCAGTGATAATCTAGTGATTATATTGTACATATCTTTGGCCAGGCATAATAAAGTAAATTTTGTGAATGTCTTCTATTGTGCTTTTGTTTTATTTATCTATGTATCAAACATGGCCCGGGCACTATGTTCTTCAAAAAGTTTTCAGTAGATAAAATTTTTTATATAAGCGGCTTTGTCACATCATAAAGGCTTTATTAGCTCATAGAAGATTAATATTATTCAAAATTCTTTAGGAATACTTGACATTGTGTTATCTTTAGTGCACAGAGCACACTATTCCTAAGTAGGACGGAACAAAAGAAGTTTTTTGTAAAGTTTGACTCACGTCTGTCACACTTAATTTGTGTTTTTTTTCTCTGTAATGTTGTCTTGTTCATCTTTCTCTTCTTATGTCTTTGTTCAAATATTTAAAGCCACTGTATTTTTATTATTATATGTGCTTCTGCGGTGTGTTTTCCAAACTTATGTACATACTTATCAAAAAAATTTTACCTTTGAAACCGCAATGTCTAAAGACTATTTTACTGTATTTTTTTAAATGTACATCTTATCAAAATTTTTTTTACCCCTGCAATGTCTAAAGACTCTTTTTTTTAACACACTATTATGGCTATACACAGAAGTATTAGCAGCTCTTAAGTTATTACTTATCGATCTTGATCGGTAAGTATGTTGATAGGTATTTGACTGTCTGTTAGGTGCACGCGATATCTCGCGAAAGCGAGGTTGAATCTGCTCCAAAATTTGCATGTGCATTCATCATATCTCGGACCAGAAGCCTATTGATTTTGGATGAATTATGTCGTATAATTAGCGAGTTATTAATTAATTGGTGATGGGACACGTGGTGTCACTATAGAATCATGAATCGAAAGTACACCATTATGGTGTGAACTCAATGACCTTAAAATGTTTTTCCTTCATAATGTATGTATATAGTGGGGTGCTCCTGAAAAAGGCATACGAGGATGTCCGACACTGGAACGTAGTCTGTGTACCAGGTTAGGATTAAGCCATAATTTTATTCCAATTTTTCTTATTTTAGTTCTGATACGTGTTCGGGGACTAGAACCCTAACCTGGTACACATACTACATTCCTGTCTGCGCCATCTTGGTACACATACTTCAGGAGTACCCTTAGTGAAATGAAAATTGATATACCGGTAGCTAATAGCTATGGTCTGAATTAGATGACCTTAAAATGTCTTTCCTTCACAATGTATTTACCAGTACTTACTTAGTTGACCGATAAATGGTATTTTTTTCACCCCTTGTAATGGATAGGATAGGATTTACATATTTATCCCGGGGGAGAGGAAAGCCGATAATATGGCTTATCCATATGGTGAACCACGGCCTCTCGTCCGGTTACCATTCCAAGTCGGGTATGGGATTAGTTATATTGTTTGTTTTCGGAAGCATGGACTTGGTGGTGGAGGAAGCCGTAACCGACCAGCGGTTACGTGAACCACCCAACGACGGCGAGGAGTCCAGCAATCCTCTCGCACATAACCATCCCTGCATGGGATTCGAACCTGCGAACCCACGCAGAGTAGTTAGAGGTGCGGTGGCGAGCGTATTCCTAACGCTTAGCCCGTTGAGCCACACCGCCGCGCCAATGTCCTCAAACATTTTCAACACACCATTGTATCTAAATGGCTTTTGTATTTTTGAAGCAAAAAATGAAACAAAAGTATGAAAATGAAAATATATTGCAACACTGAGGTGTTTTGTCAAGTTTAAATTATAAAAATAAAATGCATACAAACATTGGCAAGATCTAGGATTAATAACAGAAATTTAAACCAATATTCAGAAGAACCTTAGTGTGCCTGAAGCATTCCGAATTGCTTTTTCAGAATGCGTTTTGAATAGTAATTTATATGGCTTCCGTTCAATTTTTCATTGGTATATTATGATATGAAAAAATTTGCTCGTAATGGGGATAGGAAAGTCATATAAATACTTGGTATAAAAAATATGTATTACCGGTATATCAAATTTAGACCAATTGCCGAGTTAAATTTTGGTTTTCTCGGCACGAAGTTTACTAGTCCCAAATACATCTTTTCATATTTTATTTTCTATGAATTGCTGAAGCCAGAAATGTGTTATTTTAGAAAAAACTTTTTTATTCATAAAAACACGTTCAGAACGAAAATGCGCTGTATAAAAAAATACAAATATCAATATTATTTCAAACCAAGACTGTTGCCAAGTAAAGTTCTATGGAACTAGGAATATACATTCCTACTTCCATTTACATATCTTGGTTCTATTTTCCATAAATTGCTGAAGCCAGAAAAGTGTTGTCTCCTTTCGAGGTGACACTAGTTGGTGCTCTTTGAAGGGCTGCGGTCATTTCTGCTGGTAGATTTGTCGAGGTGTGGTCATAAATTACACTCAAACCACGAACGCCGTTGGATCCATCGAACAGATTTTGGCAGAGAAGAACGATATGGTAGTTCCTGAAAATTAGATATATATATAAAGGTGACCGTACATTTGAACCCATGTACATTTGAACCCATGCGTATATCCACGGGTTCAATCTATATGCGGGTGCTAAAACCCATGGGTTAGGGTTAGTATGGGTTTAACTATCCGTGAAACAAAAAAAAATTCCATAGGTGCAATAGCATACAGGTGCAATTGTCATGGGTTCAAATGTACGTGGGTTCAAATGTAATGGAACCACATTTAAATTTTAATGGTTCAGGTCTTTGAGAAAGACTATAGTCTATATACCCAAATAACATATATCCCCGCATATATAAGCTGAGTTTAAAACTCAAAAAAAGTTGCCAAATTAAAGAGTCGGATTATAATATGCGCATAACTCTAATCACGCTAAAAATTTTGCTCATACGCGCATAACTCAAGCGCATTAACAGTCATTTGCTGTGATAGGTGCATACAGCGTGTTATGATTTGTAGGGTCAACTAAATATATGATTTTTACTTATCGATCTTGTTCGGTAAGTATGTTGATAGGTATTTGTCTGTTTGTGTGTTAGACACTTTTGTATGTTACGCGATATCTCACGAAAGCGAAGTTGAATCTGCTAAAAATTTTGCATGTGAATTCATCATATCTCTATCATATTGATTTTGGATGAATTATGTCGTATAATTAGCAAGTTATCAATTAATTAAAATTGGGGCACATGGTGTCGCTGTGGAGTAAAAGCAGATGAATCGAAACCGCATTTTCTGTTTTGGGGAACCCCTAACTTTCAAATGATAAGTCTTCGGTCTCTGACCGTTATTCTCGTTTATGTTTTAAAAGGTTTCCGACCTTCAAACCATCCTCCCTCTTTCTCCTCTGCTCTATAGTGCCTTCCTAAGCAACGTTAGATATCAATGGGTTCTTGTTTAGGGCTTTGTTCGGAGTAAACAACTCTTATAAGAGTAGTATAAAAAAAATACAAGTTTTTGTCCGAGCTTGTTAAAAACTTGGTTCTTGGTATGTATTGTGTGGAATGAGACTCCTTTGTTGGTACTCACATAGTATGTGTACCAGGGCAAACACCCTTGTATATTTTGATGAGTTGTAAGATTATTTTACAACATGTCATGAGTGAGGTTTAGTCCATGAGTCATTAGTATCAGCAATCTGATATTACCCTTATCTTACATTCCCTTCCCTTAGTTTAGTAATTTCACCATTTCCCCTGGACAGTTCTTTACATAATGTAACATATTGGTACATACACGTCTGGAGCGCTTTTGTTAGAAAATTTAAATTTAAGAAATTATTTACTGGTAATTTGTGGTCGTATCTCCTTCATCTGTTTGAGTCAGGTCCAGTCTGTTTCTTGGGTAATCAGTTGAGGTTGATGAAATGATGGTCACTTTCTGAAGTCCGTAGATGACGACAAAATCTGCCATGGACGGTGAGAAATCTTGTGTGCATTTGTCCATGGTGATTTCATTGATGATAGAATATCGGAGAACATCTGTGTGATGTTATAAATAAAGTATTTTTATTATGTTTAATATTTTAATCATGGCAGCACAGTTGATGTTTTTAGATGTTTTTATATTTATAAAGTTGAATAATCTGGAATTTATATTTATTTTTGTTTGGCTTTTCACAATTACTCAAACTTATATAAACTGAATGAATGAAAGAGCATTTTTTTTATACATACCAAAATTGGGGATTTTATATGTTTATAAAGTTAAATGTTTTGCATTTCTGATCCTCTCAATGTTTTTAATATGTACGTATATATAGAAGGTTTTGGAAGTTTAAATTGATTCATTTTTTCCAATTATTTGCTGCAAACTGCCCCAACCTCCTTAAATACTTTCTACACCCTGAAAGCGTTGCTCTCAATTTCAAAATGATATTTTGTCCAAAACAATCATTTGAAAATATCAGAAAATAATATTAATTTAATTTTGGGAGTATGCAAATATTTGACTATATGCAGTTGAGTTGTTTTCGACGATAGATTCTTATTATCTTATACTTCTATTTTTAAACAACGTGCACTTTTTTAATGCTTTGAAAATTACTAGAATCGAACCGGGTTTGTTCAAACCTCACTGGCCGGTTTTTTTGTTTCATAGTAAGCCTACTCATACCCAAAAGTAGATTAGAAGCCGAAGTGCCATCGCAACATACGATCAGTTGATCAAAATTGTAAGGCTGTGTGTTTGAACTTTCTGCGTTCGCTATGACCTCACTAAGTTGGGCTGTTGTGAGTTGCTCAGTCACAGGACAAATCCCAGGCACGAAAGCTTCAAATGCAAGTAACTGGCAAGTCTGAATGAAAATTTTATAGTGTTTATTGCATAGTCAGGTAACAGTGACAGGATTTTCATATTCATCTCAGTGGAGAGGAAATGCGATAAGACGACTTGATGATGACTCAGTCTATGTCGGGTATGGGATAAGTTAGTCATTTATTTGTTTCTGATGCATGGACTTCATGGTGGAGTAATTCGTAATCGACAGACGGTTACATGAATCACTCTGCGGCGGCCTTACAAAACATTTTCACAAGGATTCCTTTAACTACTAAAATTTTCATAACGACTCAACCTAAAAGATTTAAAACCACTGATATGAAAGTTTTAAATATTTGCAAAATTCCACATTTTCCCTTCTCACTCACTAGTTCAATGGCTCTTAAACTATTTAAGCCACGTCCTCTTTTTAGAATTTGTCAAGTCTCGCGCCCCCACCTCAACTAGCTAACAATCAGCTACAAATAACAGATAGTAAGGTGAAGGTATCCAGTATGTTTTATTCAAGCAACATGTAGATGGAACGTGAATATCCGAAATAAAGAAATATAAATATCTAAAATAGGGCATGAATGTCAAATCTAACAAATATCGGCTCTCCCGAAGTATGCGAACCAAGATGGCGGACATCGGAATGTAATATGTGTACTATGTTAGGGTTAGGCCATAATTTTAGATATAAATACTAAGGGAGGCTCTTGGCTAGTCTTCGAACTGATAATAGGACTAAAATAAGGAAAATTGGAAAAAAATTATCGCCTAACCCTAACCTGTTACCCATGTTACGTTCCGATGTCCGCCATCCTGGTTCGCATACTTCCGGAGCACCCAAAATTTTTATTTTTAGTTAGCTTTACGGCCCCTCAAAAATTTGTCTACACCCCCCTTGTGAGACACGCCCACCATTTGAGAACCACCGTAATAGTTTGATATATTTACTATGAAGATCATTTATTACTTACATTACATCCAGCGAATTTAATTCCATCTGCTTCTATTGCAAGAATGATCTGATCCCCGGTCACAAGGAATAGTCCACTGAGTGAGAGAAGTAGGAAACATAAATTCATAACTATGTTATTAATTAAAATTCTAAATATGATATTTAATGATTCATTTTCTGTGGGACTAACTACTTCAATCCTTTTTCTATGCTCTTGTGTCAGTGGATCCGTATGCATATAATGCAAGGATGCTGTAGCAAGAGTAAAGATAACTATCTTAAGTGATTTAAGAGTCTTGCTACACACTAACACAAATATATTTCTCTAACGTTTTGTCTGAACTATACATTGAACTATGTATGTCTGAGGAAGTTTGACATTGGTCTAACGAAACGTTACAGAAATATTTTGTGTTAGTGTGCAGCAAGACACTATGGAATCACGTAGGTATGATATTCATTATGTATAATACATACCCCAAGTTGTGCTTCATGTTATTTAAATTAATAAAGTTTAATATTTCCCTCTATTCATTATTAGCTTATTACCAATTAAAATGATTTCCTCTATTTTTCAAATTATGAATTTCAAATTGTAAATATATATTAACTTATTTTTCATTGTATTTTCATAATTCTGCCGAAGTAGTTTTTATTGGTTTCTCAGATTTTTCTACAGAATGTCTTATACCAGGGTTTCCCATACTTTTTTGGGCTATGAACCACTGTTTGTGAGTCTTAATTTTGACGGACTTTCATATGCCTAACCAAAGAGACTATATGAAACACTGAAAGTCGGACTCAATACATACTAAAGTTGAATACTTACAGGCTAACGGCAATTCGATAAGATTATGATTTATTTGTATCTGTTTCGGACTCTTTTCATATCGTTAAGTACCCTTTGCAGTCATCACGGATCTAATAAAACTCACGAAAGTCGGACTCATGACATACTAACGTTGAATACTTACAGGCTAACGGCAATTCGATAAGATTATGATCTATTTCGGACTCTTTTCATATCGTTAAGGACCCTTTGCAGTCATCACGGATCTAATAAAACTCACGAAAGTCGGACTCATGACATACTAACGTTGAATACTTACAGGCTAACGGCAATTCGATAAGATTATGATCTATTTCGGACTCTTTTCATATCGTTAAGGACCCTCAGTGCAGTCATCACTGACCCCAACGGGTCCACGGATTCCAGTTTTGGAAACCCTGCCTTATAACAACGCCTACAAAATATCCTTCAAATGCACTCGCACTATTCATAAAAATTATATTCCTGTACCATACTGCGACGCTTATTTCTAAATAGCGTGTTACTGCCTGATAAATATTCTCTCAACCTGTGTTTACCTATAAACTAATTATCTTGCCCTACGTCAGAAACGCTTATCATTTTCCCCCAAGAATTTTGAGTATTATATGAATTTTGAAAATTATTTTTTCCTTGTTTAGTTTTTTTTGTCTCGCATCTTGTTTATACTTTTTTATTCTCACTTTTGATATTCTACCATTGCGGGAGGTTTATCCACAATATTCAAAAATCAATTTAGGAATTTATGTTTTTTATATCAAAGTTGTTTAATATTGAACTATTGCCTAAATCAGCATATTGCAAAGCTGCGCGTCTGGATCAGGGGTTCACAAACTTTTATTGTTGTGACCTCTTCCAATAAATCAAAATTGTCGGTGACCCCTGTTCACATTCAGATCCCCAGTTTGGGGAAGCTCTGGTCTCGATCATTCTTAATTGTCTATATTAGAATACTTTCAGCAAAATTCCAATTTAAATTCATAAAATTTGACAGAAACCAAATGAAACATAAAAATTTTAATATCAAAGCAATAATTTTGATATCGCAAAGTCTTATTAAAAATGTAAAATGTTATCTTTGTAATCTCGCTTATATAGAACTATGTATCCTGTCTACATGAACCCAAGCGAGCAAAAATCCCAAACACTTCAGTATCAACCCCAATATATAACAGTAATTTTGATATCGCGAACTCTTATTAATAACATAGAACCTTATCTTTAAATTTTGCTAAATTCCAAAATCTATTTTCTTCCAAGGAGCAATGTATCTTTTATACGTGGACCCGAGCCACCAATAATACAAAACACTTTTGTATCATCACCCACATTATACCATCATCACCAATTAATATCAGAGCGGTAATTTTGATATCACAAGCTCTCATTAAAAACGTAAACTGTTATCTTTAAATTTTGCAAAATTCCAAAATCTATTTTCTTCCAAGGAGCAATGTGTTCCGTCCACACAAACGCGAGCGAATAAAAATCCAATACATTATTGTATCATCACCCATTCTATACCTATTCGGACACATCAATCATTTTCACACCTTCTTTCAAAGATCATTTTAAAACAATCAGATCATTTTATCCTGTTACACGTTATTTCACACCTTTCCATTGTTGTCATGATGTAGGGAGTAATTCGATACCTATCTGAAGACTTTTTTTTAAAGTGTTTGTCATGTAACAATTGTTGATTGTGAGGTAATAATATAAAATGAAACTGTTTTTCATCGATTCAACTTAAGTTCTTGATCGGCCCATCTAAACTAACACCATGCTATGGTGTTCAGTAAACATTTCCAAAAAATTATTTCTCTACATCTTGACATTTTATTGATTGCCCATAATGTTAATCAGAGATTGAGTCGTTTACTTATTAAAAATTATCTTATCACTTATTTTGAATATACTACACGTTTACTCATTTTAAATACAAGTCAACAAATACATCCGAGTCATTAAATAAAGTAATTTTAATTTACTCAACAACATTAATCAGCAAATAACAATATGTTTATTTTTATAAATTTATTGTGGGGCTCCATAAATAATAGTCAACCTCTTCAATGGTTCCATAAAACCAAGAGTTTGAGAACCCCCTGATATAGAGGGTTAATTATTTTTAATTTGTGTTCTGTTTTTATCCTAATTGTTTTATGGGCTCAGTGTTTATGGTCATTGATAGAATTTTCATGTTCTCACCTGGATAATAACCAGTACGCTGCAATTCATTTTTGTATGCACTTCTGAATGTCTGAAAAGGGTAAACTTTTTATGGTCATGTAACATGTCTATATAACGACCCTTGTGCTAGCATTCCTTTCTATAAATTGCTGTATGTCTGAGGGTTAATTTCATTCCTACTGGTAATAATGGGTTAATTTTTCAACTAATTATTTATTTATGTGATCATGTAGAAAGCTGAATAACCTTTCTATATTTAAACTTCAATTGAAAACTAATATTGACTTTAATCTGAACGTGACAGAGTACATGTGCCCAGGTATGTATTATGAGATTAGTTCCTGTCTATTGATGAACCAGCGGTTGGGATTGTCTTTTTAAGCAAGCAAGTTTAGCTTGGTGTATATATATACAGGGCGTCCATAAAGTCCCTTTACAATTTTAATTTTGTTATGAAGTCAGTTCTCAATATATATTAACCGGTTTGTTGTTTTTTAATCAGTAATTGTTACTTCATTTAATACATCTGTGTATATGGTATCGTTAAATTCGGTTTGCAATTTAAAAAATTTTAAGACTTCATGGACACCCTAGATATAGATGGGTCTTACATAGGTTATTTGGAAAAACTCTTTCTATACACAGTTTAATGTGCTTTTTACTTCAAACAACACTCTAGCAGCAGTCACTTTATGTAGGGGTTGTTATTTTTTTGGTTCAGCATTGCCTATGCAATTCATTACAACCTGATTGAGGTAGCATGCTAGGATTTTCAAGTTTCTTGCAGTAGATTCCTCCTGACAAGTTTAGAGACGCAGGACATGTGCTCAGGTATACGTTATGGGATTAGTTTCTATATCGATTGATGAATGAACCAGCAGTTCTGATCAACTCTCAAAAGCAAGTTTGTTTGTTATATAGACATATAGATATGTGTGACATACGCTATTTGAAGATGATTTTCTATACACCGTTTAATGTGCTTTTTACTTCGAACAACACTATGTTCTTTTAGCAGCAGCCACTTTGGGTAGGGGTTACTATTTTATTGGAGGTAACAGGATCTTCCCCAATTTACTACACGCTGTGTGAGATGGAGCGCATTATTTTTAGCCTGCTACGATTCTTAAATTTCTTGTATTAGATTCCTATAGACAAGTTTAGAGACACATGACATGGGGCCAGGTATGTATTATGGGATTAGTTTCTATGTCTAATGATGGATGAACCAGCAGTTGGGGTTGTCTCTTTGAGCTTCCCATTGAGAGAAGGGACATTTGTAGCAAGTTAAGTGTGGTATTTATAGATATATAGATTAGTCGGTGCTCCCGAAGTATGCGAACCAAGATGGCGGACATCGGAACGTAACATGGGTAACAGGTTAGGGTTAGGCGATAATATTTTTCCAATTTTCCTTATTTTAGTCCTATTATCAGTTCAAAGACTAGCCAAGAGCCTCCCGTAGTATTTATAGCTAAAATTATGGCCTAACCCTAACCTAGTACACATATTACATTCCGATGTCCGCCATCTTGGTTCGCATACTTCGGGAGCCCCGATTAGTCTTATTATTATAATTATAGGTTTATAAAGAAATTTTTTATCTTTACAGTTCTACTTTACATAACCTAATTTATTACATGCTTGGCAAGGTGGTAGGCATGGAATTTGGTACTCTCGAAGTATGTGTACCAGCATAGGGTTAGGCCATAATTTTATTCTGATTATCCTTATTTTAGATCTATTACGAGTTCGCGGAATGTCTGTGTTAGCCAAATGAATATACCCCTTGCCAATAGTAATCAGTCCCTTTACACAACTTGATGTAAAGTAGGCAAACAAAATTAGTTACCTCCATATTGGTACACACACTTCTGGAGCGCCTGAAATTTCACTGTTAAATGTTTTATAGCAAGTTAGCTTGTTTTGTATCGATATAGATAGGTCTTACATAGGCTTTGTGGAGATTATTTGAATACTATTTTTCATATGCCGGTTCTATCACTTTACTGGAAATAAACATACAAAAAGGTCTTTATGAGAGTACATCATTAATCTGTCCAATCTACTTTGGTTGAAAATGGCTTCTGTAAACATCTCTTTCATTCAATTATCAAACTAACATATTTTTATTTTATACAGGTATTTAACTTAAATGTAGGAGTATCATTTATTAGCATAATCCAATGTTAATGTAGTGAATACATCAGAGTTGTTACTGTGGTGCTTGGAGTAACTCAACACATCAACCTGGAAAGATGTCAACCAAGTTCACAAAGGTTGGTAAACAGACTTGTAGTGTTTATTTATTATTCATAAATAAAGCAACCACACAAATTATACTTGTTGAAAAGTCTATCAGTGTTAATCCAGCGAGAGACATGTTAGCGCGACCAGCTTTATTCGAATGTCCTTCAAGGATGTCCCCAACGTGCTCGACAATGATGTCATAGCTCTTAATCAAAATAGACCGGCAGTTCAACAACATAACAAGACCTACTGCGTAAAATTTGCGTAAACCTTTCATTTTTTAAAATAACAAATTTTATCAAAAAAAAAAATTTCAAAAATAGGAATAATCAACCATATTCAATTATGGTGAATCTGTTTATAACTTCGCTTTGTTTCAATTTCTCAGGGAACTCTTGTGTGGGTGAAGCACCCAGTGGAAGCATGGAAACCCGCAACTGTTGGGGAGGTTTTATCGAAAGGAAAAATCAAAATTTTTTATTCAGATGGGAGTGAAGAGATTATTAAGTCATCGGTCAGTAGTTCTATATCATTAGGACATTTACCAACGCTTTGTTATTAGTCTTATTTGTCTGTGATATCGAGATGACATGAATTGGAATCCGCTATTCTGAATATGTCTCGTTCTCGCGCAACCCTGCTGATAATTTAAAAATACTAACTTCCTATCTACTTATTCAGTATTTCAGATTCCGATTTTTAAAACCCTGGCTGCGCCCTCCATGTGTAGTCGAAGAGAAAGTAAACTTTTGCGGGTTTGAGGCTCTCGAAATAACACAGTTCTAAATGTTTAAGATTTAGGAGCGATTTGATTTTACTTTTGTCTTTGTCATCTTTCTGCAACGTTTTGTCATCAGAGCATTTCTTATTACATTTATTCGAATCTAAAAGAAATAGAAAAAGGATAAGTAGTAGGTCTGGTGAAAACCCAATCAATATCTCAATTGTTTCACACTTTTTTTCACAGTCTGGCAACCCCTTGCTTCGAATGATTCACTGTGAAGGAGACATAGAAGTGCAGAGAGTGGGAGAGAATGAAGATTATCTATTCTCCGATGATTTGACAAAGATGTCACAACTTATTACACCAGCAGGTGAGAACGATATTCATGGAACCAAACTGAATATGACGGTGATGGCCTAGCATAGCGGTTCTCGAACTTTTTGTTCAGCGGCGCACTTGCACAAAAAATCCTGCTTTTGAATAAAACTCAATTTTGTAATGGTCAATGTGTATTTAATGCCTTAAAGTTTGTAAACAGGTGGGCATATAGAAATAAAGGCAAAGTGTCAACTCTTCCTACTCATCTCTGCCTGATTGTTCTTTGAAATACTAAAAAATTACTTATGTTTGATAAACTCGGTTCAGATAAATAACTCACATAAATGAACTGCAGCTCGTGAAATTGCAGCAAGAAGTGTCTATCTCTGTTGTTACATAACAATAGAGGCAGACTCTTTGGGAACCGCTGGCCTAGCAAATCGACTGCGCTTGTCGTCTCTGTTTAAATTTCATTTGAACCACCTTACCAAGGGTGTAATAAATTGTGTCGGCAGTACCAAACTGGAAAGATAAAATTTTTCAAAAATATTTACATGTCAGCGGCCTTTTTTACAGGACACATTTACACTATATTAACCTATAGTGTGAACATAATTGGTCATAAAAGTTCTCATACACCTCCTTCACGAGTTTTGAGACAAAAGGCTGCGGTTTGCTAATGGATTAAACCAACATGCTGTCTTTTCTCTCATGATGTTCTTGAATTTAACTGAATATGTTTTTTACATGTAATGAACAATTAAAGTTTAAGAAATGAATTCTGCATAGCTAATGTTCTTAGAAAAAACTTTTTACATCAGTGTTCACCATATGTGCACTCATAATTTCCTTAGAGTGAACACTGTTTGGATCAAGTTTGCTTTAATAACAATGCTGATTTTTCACAGTTCTCCATTCTCTACACAAATCATACAAAGGAGGCAGATATTACAGCAAACTTGGATCTGGGACTGTTCTTGCACTTAATCCTTTCAAAGATGTTCCAGGACTTTTTACTTTGAAGGTAAAATATAATTCAATAAATGATGTTACTGTTGTATGCTTTGACAAAGTTGTAAAGAGAGGTATCATGGTTGTGGAAGAAAAGGTTTATGCGCCATTGATTGGATGTGTCACGCAGTGTTTGGGTATATGCCTGTCATTGCACCTCTTAATAATGCCTTGCAAGAGTTCACAAGTTTGAATCATGAATTGTATGCCTCAACCGTGGTTGTGGCGAGAAATGTCATTGGCTCGATGGTTGGTGCATTGTGTTAAACGTTAGAAATACACTTGCTGGATTTCTTGCATTTTCAATGTGGTTCTTGTCATTACTACGGGGTTGTTCCTGTAACCACCACAATTAATAATTGATATTAGTAAGTTTTTTGGACATCTTCGATCTCAATACCCTTTTAATCTTCTTCAGACAATCCAATCCTACCACTCTGTATCATTATCCGAACTCCAACATCTGCCAGCCCATGTCTATGCAGCAGCACAAAGTGCCCTTGTCTCTCTCCGAGCTTCCGTAGGAAAAGTCAACCAATCGATTATTGTGAGTGGAGAGAGTGGTGCAGGAAAGGTGAGATTGTCTAAGGTTCTTAGATTAAATTCATGATGCTATTAAACCAGCGGTTCTCAAATAATCATGATCTGCGGCCTTCTAAAGACTGCCGGCTGGAAAACTGCACTGTGTCGCTGCCCGATAACCAGTATTGGTTTCCAGCGTCTCCATCCACTCTGTAAATACTATTCGTATCTTATTCTGCTCGTATTTGTATGTTGTGTATTTTCAGTATTGGTGGAAAAATAAATTACTGATTACTGTGTCCCTTAAAGACGGCCGAGTGTCCAATTCAAGACACCCTTCTTAATCATCAGTTATTTAAGCTCCATGTTTAAAATTGAAAAGTCAATAAACCGAAGTGAAATAATAAATACATTACAGTCAAATAATTGAACGAATCATAGTTACCGTAATTTACTTTAAATTATTGAAAGCGGCCACCCCCATGGATGATGGTCCGATTTGAGAAACTCAATTTGAACTAAAAACCGAAATTATGGAATTAGAACACTCTAAAAACAATTTTCCCAATTGGTGTAACATTTTGCTAATATTGTTCTCAATTTTGATACTAAAATCTTAACCTGGAAATTCTGTTTAAATGTATTTGGCAAAAAAAATACAAAGAATACCTAGTTTCCTGTTTCTTTTCCAGACTTGGACAGTTAGATGCTTGATGAGATATCTTGCCGAAGTTGGTATCGAATATAAACGTCGATTATCGAGCAACGACATGAGTTCGACACCTTTGAAAGGATTTCACGTCACCCCTATTCGAGCGTCGATGAAAACCACTATTTATGAAGTCAGCCATGGCCACGGAAAACATTCAGTGACTCATAGCTCCCCTAGTGGTGATCCAAAACTACCGAACGGTTATTTGAATGATAAAGAAAAGGAGAAGGTTATCTTGACAACTAATAACGATTCTATAGCAACCGATAGCATTTCCATGACAACAGATGATAACATTTCTACCGTAACTGATAGGAAACTATCATCTTCTTATGAAGAAATATTTGAAGATAATTTAAATTTGAACGTGAATAATAACAACGAAATAAAAGATCAAAATATTGATCCACAAGGTGGCGCTGGGGATGGTTTTGCGGCCGCGAAACAGTCAAAATTTGATGAAAATAAGAATTTAGGAAAAGTTCTCGACTTTGGAACGGAAGACGAGTTGTTGAAAGATGAGGATGATGATATCTTAGAGGATATGGATGAAACTGTGGAAGGTGACAATTTTTGTTTTGTCAGAATCAAAGATTTATTATTGACGAATAAAAAGAGATATTGCCCATATGAAATCGATTAATCTGATTCGGGGGACACTTATTTAGGAAAGGGTGTAACCAGGAATTTACAAAAGGGTTGGAGGGGGGACGTTCTGAAATTTCTAATCGCCAGGTTAGGCCATGCCAGCGGGTCCGGCCGGAGGCAGAAAAACATGAAATTTCAAGTCTTAAGGGTCTAAAAAGTTATCAAGCTACGCAAAATAGAAAATGCTAAAAAAAATTTTAAAAAATGCTTTTTTTACTTTTCAAAAAAAGGTTCTGACTTGTAAACTCTTCCTCTGGGTTCCTTTATTAGAGCATTGCTATCTTTTTTCAGAATGTATTCAATTCCGACTTTCTCTGATAATAACCATTTGTTTTCTTGTTGCAGACTTGAACACCAGTATCCAGATAGTTGATCGGATAGAACGAAGGATTTTACATTCAAATCCGATCCTAGAAGCATTCGGAAACGCTCATACATTGAGAAATGAAAACAGCAGCAGATTTGGGAAGTATATCCAGTTGCAGTATGATAGGTGAGTTTCATTTAATTCATTGTCTTTCATAGAGAAAATCTGTTGAGTTGTACCTGAAATTTTAAATTTTCTAGTGGATGTAATCAGTAGTTTAGTTTATCATCACATTGAAAATACACATATTACATACAAAATCACGAAAAAAAAATGAAAAGTTGCATTCTGCGGTGAAAGGAGTAGCGATAAACCAGGAGTGGTTATCGAGCAGCGACACCCATGAAATGAAATAGTCCAACATTAAATTATCCAAATATAAAAAGTAGAAATGAAAAAATCATTGAATCACGATAAGAGTAAAAACTTGAACACCAAATACTAACACAAAGAGCATATATGAATATATTTGCGAGACCGGATATTTTCGGTATCACTAGAAGAAAACGACTGATGAGTTGAAAATTTTGCAAGCATCAATTTACTAAGCGTTCCTTACCATCCTGGATTGGGGTTTGGAGTCAAATATTCACGTAATTTCACGAAATTTTTTGCAAATTCTTGGCCCCTGATCAGTTGAACAATTTTAAATACAAACTCACAAGTCGGCAAAAGAAAATAAAAAATGCTGACTCAGCAGTTATCCAAAACTTTTCTATATATTGCAGATCAGGTACAATAGTTGGCGCTCAACTTCGAACTTATTTGCTTGAAAAAACTCGCGCCGTCCGTCATGATCCTGGCGAGAGAAGTTATCATATATTCTATCAAATGTTTCATGGAGCCACTGATGAAGAAAGAGACGAATGGAAATTACCTGAGTGCCCTTTCCCAGAAGGTAAATGATCTTCTTGTGTTGATAAGGGGGTACTCCCAAAGTATATGTACCAGTTTAGAATTGGGCAATAATTTTATTCCGATTTTCCTTATTTTAGTTCTATTACAAATTCGGGGACTGTCTGTGTTAGCCAAGTGAATATACCCCCTGCCCATAGGTTTCAGTCCCTTTACACAACTCGATGTAAAGTAGGCGAACAAAATTAGTTACTTCCATATTGGAACACACACGTTTTCACACACATTTTCTTGAGCGAAAGTGAGTTCGGCCTGAGGCCGGAAGACGTAGGTTTCAAGAGTCTTGAGGGTGTCAAAAGCGTTCCGAGCTACGAAAAAATTGATATGTATGATACAGAAAAATCTTTTACATTTCGAAGGAGGTTCTGATTAAAGATTGTGTATAATCATGTGATCGTTTTTGTGGTGACCGTACATTTGAACCAGGTAAACCACGGCCTCTCTGCAGTTACCAGTCGAGCATGGATAAAGTTAACCAGTTACTCTCATCCGATTACTGTCACTCGCCGCCAAGTTATTTTTTTGAGAATTTCTGTCATGAAAAATTCCCTACTTTACTGATAAGTTGCGAACAATGTCAAGTCCATGCTTTCGAAAACGAATACCTCTCTAACCAATCTCATACCCTGGTGATCGTACCATTGAACCCACGTACATTTGAACCCATGTGTATATCCGCGGGTCCAATCTATATGCGGGTGCTAAAACCCATGGGGTTAGGGTTAGTATGGGTTCAAATACCCGCAAAACAAAAAAAAATTCTATAGTATGCGGTTGCAATTGCCGTGGGTTCAAATGTAATGGAACCCCTTTTTGTTACCACTCTATTCTGTGGAGCTGAATAAATAGCTTTTTCTTGAAAACAAGTAGTAAGCTGGGGAAGTTAGTTATAAGCCATCAAAATCCCCAATTGGCCACAATGACAGAAACTTTTGATTTACATAATTTCAATATAGTTTTTCATTTATGTATTCAGATGGCAGGCCAAAGCATGCCGAACCATCAAGCGCAGAGTTTGAAATGAAACAGAAATCAGATTTTCTTGAGACAAGATCATCAATGTTGCGGATAGGAATATCTACTCAAACACAAGAACTTATTTTTAAACTTTTGTCAGCTGTTTTGCACTTGAGACAGGTGAGAGCTCTTAATATCCTTGTCAGTACTGTCCCGTTACTACTCCTCCCAACGCTATTAAGGGGTTAAGGGAGTTTTACCCAGCATTGACTGGCTAACTAGAGACTAAACTGGCCACCTAGAAGTAATTGCCCGCCCCTGCTATACTGCGTGCCGTCTTGATGACTTTCAGTACTACATGTTTTTGCCCCACCCCTATGCCCTGAGTTATTAGCCTAATGTTTCAACTTATTTGAATGTTTAGAATTCAATTTTTAATCACACTAGATATGTACTTGTATACGACTGCTCAAAACTTTAATAGAAATAAGTACTTCTGTTGTTTTCCCCACAAACTCTTGCTATCTCCAAATTTACTCATGAAGCTTGAATGTGCTCATCTGTTTAGTTGACCTTCGAAGGCTCAGATGACCTTCAGAACCCATGTACATTGGAGGAAGAGAATGAATTAAACAAATCAAGTCTTCAAACTGCAGCTGAGTTGTTGGGGGTTCATGAAGAGACTATAATGCAGGTATGAAATATTAATGTTCAGTCGTTCAGAGTATGTATTTAGTAATTGTCTCCTTTCCTATATAGCACACTTATTCATGCCTCTCGCTCAGAGAAAGGCTACAATGGTGTGTACGCGCGGCGGTGCGGCCTTTTTACTTATCGATCTTTAGATCGGTAAGTATGTTGATAGGTATTTGTCTGTTTGTCTGTCTGTTAAATGCACGCGATATCTCACGAGGGCCTGGTTGAATCTGCTCCAAATTTTGCATGTGCATTCATCATATCTCGGACCAGAAGCCTATTGATTTTGGATGAATTATGTCGTATAATTAGCGAGTTATTAATTAATTAGTAATGGGACGCGCGGTGTCACCTTAGAGTCATGAATCGAAAGCGCAGTTTCGATCGATAAGTCTTCGGTCTCTGACCGATATTCTCGTTTAACCTTCGATGCCAAGCAGTCAAGTCTGGCGGGTAATTTTCTCCGTTGAATATTCCACCCTGACAAAATTTAACAATTGCCAAAGCTTTCAACAAAAGGCTTTTGGTGGATTTTAGCACTCTTATTCTTGTTGAGTGCGGGCACTACTTACTTGTTAGATTTGTATTGTTCTTTTTGTTGGATGCGTGTACTCTTCTGCTTGCTGGGGCTGGCACTCTTCTCATTGTTAAGTGCGGATACTCTTTTTTTTTTTGCACTACTAAAATAACCTTCACAATTTTTCATTACAGGTGATCACATTCAGAGAGATAACAGCACACAGCAATCGGCGTAAAAGTGTTTTTCATCGCCCATCTACAGTCGAAGAATGTAACAGTCGTCGAGATTCATTAGTCAAACTCATCTATGAGATTCTATTTCACTGGATTGTTGAGAGAGTGGGTGATAGTGTTTGTGCCCCTGATAGTAAATGGTGCAACTTCATAGGTAAGTTATCGTTTATTCATAAAAAGTATGTTCTCAATCGTCATTTGAATGGCCGGTGTAGGGCTGTTGGGCTGCCATAAAGACACTGTGGGTTTTCAAGCAGGGATGGATATTTGGTCTCAGTTACCATTTGAATGGCCTACTCCCCGGTAGATGACTATTGGAATGCCATATCTGACAACCAGTTATGAATGGATTATAATCTGATCGCCATCTTTGGGGCATTCTTATTGCGTATTGTGTTATTGAGCTGCCATTTAGACAGCAGGTTAGGAATATGTGGTCTATAGGTGGCTATTGGCATGGCTATTGGCATGTTTATAGATGGCAGATTAGGCAGACAGTAGGTTAAGAATATGGGTAAGGGTATATGGCCCCAATCATTGATTTTTTTCTTTATTTTATTCATTATATTTACATACTTGTAGTTCACTCTTAGTAAACGTATTTCCTAGTTCAACCATCCCATTTCTATCTGTCATGTCATATTTCCCCCCTAACTTGGTCACATAGGAGACACTTTTAGAGCACAGACATTTGGACAAGAAAAGTAGATAGGACTGCAGTTTTATCTGTCCTACATAACCTGCCGAATTTCTTACTTTGTGTCTTTATTCTGGGTAATTAATGGCCTCTCTGATTTATATCTTACATGGGAAACTGCGGCCCGCAGGCCAAATCTGGCCCATTTGGTAATTCAATCTGGCGCGCCTGATGCTGCCGCAACAAAACCAAAACCAAATTTTGACGTTTCAGTTAAAAAATAGCTCAAGATATTTGTTGAGATTGTGATTGAATTAAGTTTTGGTACTTTTGCTTTTGTAACACTGTAAATATTGTTCATAACTTTTACGTCACACTTACATGGCCCGCCAGTCTAGGTGGGCAACATTTTTGGGTCTGGTCCAAAAACCTTGCTCACCCCTGGTCTATACCAACTAAGGATTATATTTTCCAGGTCTTCTTGATGTTTATGGTTTCGAAAGTTTTGAAAACAACAGTCTGGAACAATTATGCATTAATTATGCAAATGAAAAATTACAGCAACATTTTGTTTCAAGTTTCTTGAGAGAGCAACAGGTTGGCTCCATTTATATTCTATTTATATTCTACAGATTTGTGAAAGCTTATTCACAAGTATTGGTAATTTTCATACTTGAATTTTGTTCGTTGAAATTGTTTTTTTCCACCATTAATGCTTGCCCTTGTTTTTGTACAAGATTTTGCTCAAAAAAAGGTCAAGTGCACTCTCACAAAAGTAAGATAACTCAAATTAACATGAACGATCATTGAAATGCCAAGAGACACTGAAACCATATACAATATGGCTCATATTTGTAGATGAAGGACAATACCATGACTTTAATCGTATGGCAGACCACGATCTCCTTCTGGTTACAGGAGTATGATAGTGCACTACCTTCTGTTATATTGCCACAAAATATTCATCTCAAAGTTTTGAAATTTATATTTATATCGCAGGAAAAATATACAGCAGCATGTTGAAATAAATATACCTTAATAAGCATTGTTTGGCAGTCATACTCGTATTTGAGAATCTGTGCATATCAAACTTTCTGAAAGGTTCTTCAATTCCTTTTCTTCTGTTTTACAGGAGGAATACACAGCTGAAGGTGTTGCATGGACTCCTTGTGATCTGACGGATAACGTGGATTGCTTACTTGCATTGGAGTCACCAAGGAATAGTTTGTTCTCTTTGTTGAATGAGGTGAGAAATTAGCAGAGTGAAAAAATTTTGTTTGAAACTAAATTTCAAATTATTGCTATGAGCAAAGGTATTTATTTGGATTGTATCGTTTATGAGGTGTTTCGCGCATTCACTTTGAACGCGGCTCTAAACAAGCATACATTTATACATATTAAGCTACTATTTTCGAACAAATATCACTTCATCTGGGTCAGTATTGCCACTCTAGTGCATGATGATTTAGGTGCACCTTCACTCTAGATAAGGCTTTGAAATAAAAGTCACTGATTGTCAAATATCTGTTATTTATGGAGACACCAGATTCTTTACGTTGTTTTTTATTACATTATTTTTATGAGTTGTTTGCACACTTTCACTTAGAATACGTGTCAGTATGAGCTGCCGCTGATATATAAGAATATGCTACTATTTTACAAGGAATCAGCATTTCGTACCCAAACGTAAATAAGGCTCATCTCTTATGTCGAACCACTGAAATGCCCAATACTAATTATTATATAGAATTATGGTGGTGCAAGAACGCACTGATATGTGCGGTGCTAATATTTCATTGAAATGACTTATTCTGTTAAAGTTTTCTTCAATCATCACATAATGAAAAATTATTATTTTATTCCCCAGGAATGCAGATTAAACAGAGCCAGAGCTGGTGGGCAATTGAAGAGTCGTGTTGAGTCGATGTTTCATAAAAACAAATACATCATTCAACCAAGAATTTCTACGCAAGCCCCAAGCTTCTCTGTTGTTCATTATGCTGGGCAAGTTTCATATAAGACTGAAGACCTAATTGAGAAGAATAAGGTAATTTGGACTTTTTTCAGTTAACATCCCTCACTAATATATAAAAACTTGAATAGAATAGTTGAAATTTTTTTTTGCCTGGTCTTTGCTGGTGGCGTCAAAAAGAGCTAATTTAAAAAGCACTTTACTACACAAAACTCAGAGATTGCATTAAAATAAACACGATTTACAGAAACTGAGAGGCAACAAGCAGATATGGCACACGGTGAGCCGGTTTCAGCAACTTTAAAAATATGCCGTTGGACAAATGATTTGTGAATTTCCCTATCTAAACAAATATTTTTTCATCTCATACAGGGTGCTATTAAATTCTTTTTTCCCGAACAGGATGAAATTCCAAATGAGATTACGCAACTTCTTGCTTCCAGTGGAAACAAATTTGTCTTCGACCTTTTCAACCAAGGTCAAACAAGATTCGAAGATTCTGAACAGACAGATCAAGAATCTTCAAAGCAAGGGAAACATAGGCCAACTGTGTTGACTAGGTTTAAGGTAAGTTTTTGTATGATGCTTATCTATGTGTTTTTTTCTGAACAGGGACCTGTGTAGGCATGCACTGCTATCTAACTCTAGGATAGGAGATGTTACTTTTTAAAGCAGCGCTTCCCAACTACCTTTTTCAGTTTGCCGCCCATTTCTATTGCTATTATTTTTTTGCGACTCCAAATGATATGTTAATATATGAGAAAAGAAACAATGCATCCCCATGCAATTTACCATCAATGCAAAACTTAATCTTGCATATTGGATATTATCAAATCAAATGTAGGCTTAATAGGAGACAAGCTCACACGCAATCTAGTTTTCAGGAGGTTTCCATGTGCGTACTGAAACGTATAACGCGACACAACGCATAATTCTAATTGTTACATTGTTTCATAATTGTTGCATAATGATAATGCCACATTTTCTGATGTAATCATAGATCTTGCGTAACATTTCTTCAGTATCATGGGGTTTTAAAACAAGTTATGTAGCTAATGATCAGTGGTGGGATTCGGCCGGTTCGCACCGGTTCTATAGAACCGTCTCACGGAATTTCATGAGATTAGCGAACCGGTTATCATTACTGGTTACTCGCAATGACTTTTTGTAACAGAACCCGCCGAAAAAATATGACTTTTGTGATGGAACCGGCTGACAAAAATTTGAATCCCACCAATGCCTGTGATGTCATCATACTTGTATGTAAGGCTTTAAATACCAGGCTAATGTGCCAGAAATAGTAAAGAGTGTTAACCTTCTATAATTTGTAAATGCTCATAGCAATCACCGAGGCTGGTGATCAGAAGCCGTAATGTTTTTGGGTACTCCGGTAGTGTGTGTACCAGGTTAGGGTTAAGCCAGAATTTTAATCCCATTTTTTTATTAAGTTCTATTACGAGTTCGGGGACTGTCTGTGTTAGCCAATTGAATATATCCTGCCCATAGTAATCAGTCCCTTTACACAACTTGATGCAAAGCAGTCGAAAAAAATTAGTTACCTCCATATTGGTACACACTTTTGGAGAGACACCAAAGTTGCTCTAATAACCCACCAACAACTGATCAACCAAATCAAGAGAGCACATGTTCATATAACCCTTACCTAGTAAAATTCACCTCTTTTTCTTTTTTTAGAAATCTCTTGACGATTTGCTTGACACTCTCGGATCAACGGATTGTCATTACATCAGATGTATCAAACCAAATGAGCAATCTGTTCCTGATGTGTTCGATGCAAAATTTGTGAGTATTAAATTGTATATTCACGACCATTTTTTTGTTAACAAACCCGTAAGTCTTGAAACACTCAACTTTAATGACTAACTCTATGGTAGACTGAACCCTCCATCCCCTGGGGAGTGTTAAGTAGTTTTTAAGAAGGGGGGGGGGGGGGGGGGGGGGGGGGGGGGGGGCAACATATCAAGAAGCTTGAAAATGCAAGGCTTGGTATTCTCAGCCTAACACTAAGATAATGGAATGTAATAAAATTTGGACGCCTAAGGTGTGAGTGTTATCTACCAGCGCTTAAAATTCAACAGGGTTGTGACAAAAGCGTTTCTTATTACCTATTGTTCTCTACCACTGAAAAATCAGATTTTACATCAGGCGGGTATTCAAGCACCGGCCCTTATTTATTTTTATGTTTTGTCCACACGGGCGGCTATTCAAACGGGCCCTTAATCAAGTTCGGGCGGTAAAATGAGCATATACGGTATTTTTGGACTTTTGCCATTGCCTCAAATCTCACTGGATTAACTATATATCTGCATCGTTTCAGGCGCTTTACACTTCTCAGCAGTCGCTCTGGGATGTTCTGTTTACTTCTGGTTAAGTCTTCCAGCAAATCTTACAAAAAAAAATACCTCCAACTTCATTCATTGTTCATGCCAATTTCCAATTTTTTTAGGTCCTCAGTCAGCTAGAAGCATGTGGTGTTGTTGAAACAATAAGAGTCTGCGCTCCTGCTCATCCCAATAAATTATCCTACAATGAATTCCTGGGAAGATATGGATTTTTATTACGAAGAAATGACATGAATGCAGAGAATGGTACTGAGATTGTAAAAGGTAAATAATTCTAGAGTCCCGCTTTTGTCTTATCTTACTAAGCTTTCCTGTAAACAACAAAATAATCTTAGCACAAAAAATTTAGAGGCCAATTGACATATAGTTGTGTGAAATTACAGGTAAAAAGTCTTTTTGAAATATATTAATAAGGGCTTCAACTCAGTAAACCGAAACTTGAAAAAGCTGTTTTGGGGAAATGAGAAATAGTTTTATTTTTGATTTTCAAACTCTTGTCACTTTTCACACTTCGGTGGATATTGCTTCAACCTATGATTAGAAAATCACAGACTGGGTTATTATTGTTGATGTTAACATTTCATAACAAGGAGCCAAATTTAATGAATAAAAAAAACTGATTCAAATATTTAGCTTTCCACATCATTATAAATTTCCTTTATTACTTATCGATTTTAATCGGTAAGTAGTTTGATAGGTATTTGTCTGTCTGTATGTCTGTTAGATGCACGCGATATCTCACGAAAGCGAGATTGAATCTGCTCCAGATTTTGCATGTGCATTCATCTTATCTCGTACCAGAAGCCTATTGATTTTGGGCGAATTATGTCGTATAATTAGCGAGTAATTAATTATTTAGTGATGGGACACAAGGTGTCACTATGGAGTAAGAGCGCTGTTTTGGGGGATCCCCTAACTTTCGATCGATAAGTCTTCGGTCTCTGACCGATATTCTCGTTCAATCATTTGTACAGTATTTTGCAATACTTTCTACTCGTTAATATACACATATACAGAATCCAGGTATTTTGGAACATATTCTAGAGCAAACTGCAACCCTCAGAAAAAAAAAATTGTGCAGCCCCTGAAGAAGTGCCAATTTTGAATGGTGTGCCCGTGAAACGAGTTTTTAGCTTAGTTAATCTGATACTTGCGGACTATTTTCGATCTTTTGCGTCGCGAAGCCTATACCAGTACCTGAGTGCCACTGTCATATTAGCATAACTAGTTAGCAAAATCCTGTTGGAAAATACACAATGTATGTATGTATGTATGTTTATTCGTCTCGTAAAAGCAAAAACACAGGAGTTAGTAAATATCAACATTGAAGACGGGATGTATACACAAGACTATACTGGCCTAAAACACATGAACGTGCGGCATACACCCCTTATGATAAGCATAAAATGCAATAAATCGAATAAGTATAATATGGTCCTTCATACAGACAGTTGTGCGAGGAGGGTGTCATAAAAGCATGTTTCTCACTGGATTCGTTCAAAGTCGGTGCGGCTCGTGACTTTATCCAGTTACTTGTACCTGGCCCTCCTGTGATACTGGTTGCAAACCCCTGTTCTGGAGTAAACATAGCTTTTGTTTCAAGTTCGTTCAAAGTCGGTGCTGCCCGCGACTTTACGCAGTTGGAAAATACACAATGTCATAAAAGCATGTTTCTCACATTCCATTTTGTGCAGAGCATCTTAGATTACTGATACTTTCGGGTACCATCGTACACAAACAGAAGTTCAAGTGTTAAATTAGTTTTTTTCATTTCCATATAATTAAGACATTTATGGGCTGTTTTCACCCTGTATATCGCATTGTGGGTACTCCCGTAGTATGTGTACCAGGTTAAGGATAGGCCATAATTTTATTCCGATTTTCCTTATTTTAGTTCTATTACGAGTTCGGGGACTGTTTGTGTTAGCCAAGTGAATATCCCCTGCTCACGGGCTTCCGTCCTTTTACGCAACTTGATGTAAAGTAGGCGAACAAAATTAGTTACCGCCCTATTGGTACACATACTTCTAGAGTGCCTGATTTTGCACAGTTTTAATTACTAAGCTATATAATATAACATACATTTGTAACATTTGTGTAAATCTTCAAATTTTAGAGCCGTCTCATAAGAAACGTCGACGAAGTATGACTAACATAGATTTACGTCGGGATGCTTGTGATCGAATATTAAAACAAATCAACAAAAATGAGGATGAAATTGAGAATGAGAAACCATTGCAGTATGGAAAAACAATGATATTTTTGTCATCAAAATTGGTAAGTGGCCTAGTGAAGGGTTTTCCAACTGGGGGGTCCGTGACAACGGCACAGGGGGTTCACAACGATATGAAAACAGTCTGGATGATATTTAATGATTGATTTCAATAAAAAAATCTGTTGCATATTTTCGTTGAGCGATGCAGACGAATATCCATTGCTGTTTGAAAAGACAATTAAAATTTGATTGCCTTTTGCAACGACCTACATGCGTGAGGAACTCTGGTCTACTTGGTAGATTGTGGGACTTGACTATTTTGGCATTGATAATCTTGACTTTAACCACCCAAGATATAATGCAGGGGTGTGCGACTTGCGACCTGCAGGCTAAACGAGGCACATGAGGGAAAATTGTGCAGTCCGTGGAGAAGTACCAATTTTGAATTATGTGCGGCCGCTAATGAGTTTTAATATACTTTAATCGGTGCTCCCGAAGTATGCGAACCAAGATGGTGGACATCGGAACGTAACAGGTTAGGGTTAGGCGATAATTTTTTTCCAATTTTCCTTATTTTAGTCCTATTATCAGTTTGAAGACTAGCCAAGAGCCTCCCGTAGTATTTATACCTAAAATTATGGCCTAACCCTAACCTAGTACACATATTACATTTCGATGTCCGCCATCTTGGTTCGCATACTTCGGGAGCCCCCTTTAATCTGGGTTGTGCGAATAATTCCAACCCCTTGGCATTGCAAAGCCTGCACATGAGTCTAATTTGTTATCTATGACGTTATAACGCCCTAACAGCTAGCTTGTGCGAAGCGAATAACGCATGCCATAAGATTAATAACCAAAATTTTTGTGCTTGCGACTACTAGAAAGCCATGTTAAATGAAGTTGTGGCCCACGGTTTTGCCCAGTTATATGTATCTGGCCCTTCTGTTTCAAAGGTTTCCTACCACTGGTGTGATACATTGGTTAGGCAAATACAGAAAGATTAGGAAGATGGACATGATAATTCGAATATTTTTGATATATAAATTATATTTGCTTACTACTTTCTCTATAAGGGTAAGGGAAATCCTGACATTTTTTCGGTGACCGTACATTTGAACCCATGTGTATATCCACGGGTTAAATCTACATGCGGGTGCTAAAACCCATGGGTTAGGGTTAGTATGGGTTCAAATATCCGTAAAACAAAAAAAATTCCCATAGGTGCAATAGTATGCAGGTGCAACTGTCGTGGGTTCAAATGTACGTGGATTCAAATGTAATGCATTTTTTTTCTCTAGCTATTCTGGTTTTTAGCATGTTCTTCCCTTCACTTTCAGTTTGAATCTCTGGAGTCTTCACGTTCAGAAGAAATAGTCACGTGTACTGTCACAGTTCAACGAGCTTGGCGTGGATATGTACATCGAATGAAATGCAGAGCTGAACGAAAAGCTTTGATTGCGAAGCGAGAGAATGCTGCAACTGTTTTACAAAGGAATTGGACATATACAGTGAATTTGAGGTATTTTGACTCGTTTTTTTTATATTTATTGTGGTTCGGCAGGACTATTTACTCATACTATGCTTTTGTGCAGTTGGGTCCATATGTTGGTGACCGTACATTTGAACCCATGTGTATATTCGTGGGTTCAATCTATATGCGGGTGCTAAACCCGGTTAGTATGGGTTCAAATATTCGTAAAACAACAAAATTGTTCATGGGTGCAATAGTGTGCAGGTGCAATCGTCGTGGGTTCAAATGTACGTGGGTTCAAATGTAATGGAACCCCATATGTTTAATGAGTTGTTTTTACACCTTCATTCTGACTTACGAGGTCACACTGCGCAGGTGGAAAACTGATTTTTCTTTTCCTTCACTTCTTTGCCCTTGAGAAAACTCCCTGTTCTTCTCAGTTTCTTTCCGGTCAAGAGACATTTCAAAATTTGTAATGCATATAATTCCAAATAAAAATATTATAAAGTAGTCCACTTTGCTACAAAGTCCCTTCATACCCTTTCTGCAAATGTAGAAGATTTTATGAAAATTAATTTCTGAAAATGAGTATTCTTGTAAAAACACATTCTTTGAAAGTAACAATTTCAAATTTATTCTCTTGACTTCTTTTAGTTCCCCAGCGTATACATGATTATTCTCACAATAGTTTATTGATATTTAATCCAATAATTCCAGTTGTATTGATTAAATCATAATCAATAAATCATTATTTATCGTTGAGAATATTTCATATATAGTATAGTATAATACTTCCCTATATTATTAAAACAGAGTTAGTGTTATAGTGGGGTAGTTTAGAGCAGGGGTGTGCAAACTGGGGCCCGCGGGCCAAATGCGGCCCGCAAGGTAATATTGTGCGGCCCGCGGAGTGCCAATTTTGAATGGTGCACCCGCGAAACTAGTTTTTAGTTAGGTTATTCTGGCACGTGCGAGAAATTCCAATCACTTTGCGTGGCACAGCCTGTACCAGTACCCGAGTGCCACAGCCGTATTAGCAAAACTAGCTGGCAAAAACAGTTTTTGTGCCTGAAACTACTATAAATTATATCTTAAATAAAAGTGCCGCTCGTGGCTTCACCCAATTACTCGAATCTGTCCCTCCTGTATTAAAGGTTGCACACCCCTGGTTCACATCAGTGCTCTTCAACCTTTTTGTTATTGTGGAACCCCTGATATAATTTTTCGATTTTTATGGAGCCCCAATTAACAAAATTAAAAAACACGAAATACTCGTAACACAAAATATTTATAATTCAAATATCTCTACTCCAATAATGAAACAGAAAGCGTGAAATTCAATGACTAGGTTGGTCTTGCATTTCCTTTGCAATCTCCTTGAATTCTCATGCTCATGTCTACGCTCTTTAAACAACTTCGCAATGACACATCAACATGCTTAAGCAAGAAATGATTTCCCCTGAAAAAAAAAAGCGCGGAACCCCTAAGGAACCCTATAAACTCACGGAACCCCACTGCATGTATTACGGAACCCTTGTTGAAGAGCACTGGTTTAGAGTAATCAAAGTTATATATTTTTTTTGGATCTTCGCTCTAGGAAACCCTTATTCTCAGACGTTATGTATGTTTTTCTGTGTTCAATATTTATTGTGGAGAATCTTTCTTAGATTGTCATATGTGATTATTTAAATTGCATATTTTGTGTAATTTATATTGCATATTTTAGCATTCTTAATTATATTGTGTCTGTTTATTAGCAACAGTAATTTATCTGTCGAGTCATACTTGGCTTACTTTTACGTGAGTCATGTTTTGTTGGTGCTTTGTGAAGTAATTAAGTAAACTTAGGTCATGATACTAGAATCTGTTTCGCCTATTTTGAAATTATAGGTATATTGGTAAATATATTGAGGAATGTGTGTTTTCTACTAATTACCGCAAACAGGGCTCTAAACAAGCAGACATAATGGTACTCCTGAAGTATGTGCACCAAGATGTTGCATAACCTGAACCCTAACCTGGTACAAAACCTGAGTTCAGGTTGTGCGCCATCTTGGTGCGCATATTTCAGGAGGTCCGACATAAAGTGCTAGGAATTTGGGAAGACCGAAATTTTCAGTTCAGGATTACCTATCTATTATATTATACAAGGGTGTGCAACAGAAAATGTTGCACATCCCTATCTTACATCTTAGATAGGGTGCAGGGGTGGAATTAAATCATAGATGTCTAACTATTAAAGCCGGTATGGTTAAGTGCAAAGTTAAGCCACTCCTCTAATTTTTTCTTAGGAAATGCAGAGAGGAACGTAGAAAACTTATCATAAAAAGATTTAACTCTGCTGTCTTGTTGCAACGATGTTGGTTGACATATAGAAGAAAAACTGAAGCAAAGAAATGGAGGAAAACTGAAATCGGGAAGAGAGAGAATGCTACAGTTGTTATTCAAAAAGGTAAGAGGCGAAATCTTCTCCAAAAAATCAATGTTTCAAGTCAACTGTGCTAAAATCATAGTCGCATATGCTTTCACATGGAAGCCATTGCATGCATATGAAGAATTGAAAACATATACTGAAATCTACACATTTACTGAAATAGAGAAATATCAGTGTCTAGTGAAAAATTCAATACAATATATTCCAACTAGTCTTGGTTTTGTTTTTCGGTGTCACCCTATTTATATATTGATCTGAGGTGCGCATTTTGAATAAATTTTTTGTTTTGATTAATGATATTTGATGAAGTACTGTTTTTAAATTACATCCATTGAAGTTACTGTTTTTAAGTTATTCAAATATCTATATAGAAAATATAGTGTTGGGGAATAAATACCCAGTTTTGATACATTTTGTGACTTTTATTTTCTGTTAATTGTCTGTGTAGTCATTCGAAACATTGGCTGAATTACATCATTTGCATTTTATCTATTTCTCATGTTTTACTCTAAATAAGCTTAGAAGCTTGTAATGGTGACATGTTGATATCAAAATTTAGGGTGCTCCCGAAGTATGCGAACCAAGATGGCGGACATCGGAACGTAACATGGGTAACAGGTTAGGGTTAGGCGTTAATTTTTTTCCAATTTTCCTTATTTTAGTCCTATTATCAGTTCGAAGACTAGCCAAGAGCCTCCCGTAGTATTTATAGCTAAAATTATGGCCTAACCCTAACCTAGTACACATATTACATTCCGATGTCCGCCATCTTGGTTCGCATACTTCGGGAGCCCCAAATTTAGAGTCCGAAAATTTCAGTGTTATTTACCATTCTTGGATTGAGGAATTCTTTGAGTCTAGCGTCAAGATGTGCCTTAGATTCCTGAGCGAGTGTAGTATTTTAGTATTTACAGAATGATATTTAAGGCAGATAGCAGTCAGAAATTACTGGTACTGCCTATAGCTGGGGTTCTCAACCTGGGTGTTATTGGATGGCAGTCGAGTTTTTGTGTTTTTTTTTTTTTAATATCCTTTAACAAAAGAAAACTAAGTAACTACCAGATGAAAATGAATGCCAATTGAAACGCGTAAATTTTGCTGATCAAGCGTTGTTGCGATTGTAACGCAACAATGTGATATGCACGGCTTTTCAGCCAAACTGGGAAATCTCAAAAACAATGTGCTGCGAGCATTGCAGAAAGTGATGTGCTCATCGAAACTTGAGAGAGATTTCAAGAATTCATTGGCTGGGTGGAGGACAAGGTCAATAACATCAACACGAATATTCAATTTAGTTACAGCAGTTGGTCAATGAATTGTCGTTGCGGCAAATTGTCAGTCAATATATCACAACTTTGTTTGGTGTCTGATTATTGGGGGTTCGCGTTGATTCTTTTGTGACCCGGGTTGGGAGGGGGGTACTTAACAGAAAAAAGGATGAGAACCCCTGGCCTATAGTCCCATATAATTAGTTGTTGTCTCTGAGAAAGGGCCTGTGTGTTTTGCGAGAAAACCTCATGTGTGCGTGCCATTAATACAAACTTAATCATATGTTGAATTATGGGTTTACGTCTGTTTTACTGGTCCAGGCTAGATATGGGAACCAGTTATGTAGAACAATGTAGGAAGCTGTAAGAAATCACTCTTGCTGAACATAGTGAAAGCCATGGTATCTCCTTGAGCTTGCCCCAGAATTTCGAGAAAATATATATAACAGGGATGGGCAACATACGGCCCGCGACGAGATTTTGACCTGCCCGCTGACTGTACATCAGTACTTTATGATTTTACATTATTACACTTTTAGTACATCAAGATAAATTCATTATGTGTTTTTGGTCTCTATTTTTTGTAAAGTTTAAACTTCGCTTTGAACGCGATTTATAATTTTCTTTCTTGCATAAGCGAATAAACATCTGATTAAGATATTGAATACTGTTCATGGTATAATCCGGCCCGTCGAGGTCTTCATTTTCCCACATCTGGCCCCCCGATTAGAGAAGTTGCCCACCCCTGATATAGATGATATAAAATGAGATAAAAAACGTTCAGAGCATATTTATTTTTAAATATTTTATGGCAGGTAGAACAGCAGAGAAAAAAGTGACATTTGAGGAAGGTAGCCCATCAGGTGAGAATATAGAATAGCAAGAGTGTGTCAGGTTAGGAAACAGTGTGATTGAATCGATTTAGCCTTCCCTTATAGATGAGTAAACAGACTGGCTTACCCTAGTTTAGATCAGGTTAGCATCTAAGGACAGCTTACTGAGTGAGGTCAGGAGATCATAATCTCCCTGTGGTTTGATTCCCGTTTTGACGCTTGACAAGGCTTTATGTTTACGATGTCTTGATTGTAAAAACATTTGTGAGACTCTTCTGGTGTTCGTTTTAATGATAAATTTCAACCAGAAGTAATAGACTCGAGTAATCAAAATAAAATACTCCGACTTGCACTCAACTCACCGTCAGTGAGACTTAGCCCAGTGATTGACTTAACTCGGATTCCTTGTGACCCAAACTTGACTATCAACTTGTACCGCTGCTCGTTAACCAGTATTGGTTTCTGCGGCTTCCTTCACTCTGAAATGCAATTTTTTTTATATTGTAATTTGTATGTTTTGAGCGCTTTTTCAACATGGTAAAAAAATAAACTACTGATTACTTGAGGCTGATGGGCATCTATCCAACGCTGATCCCAGCTATGCTCAACTTGATAAAACTTTCAAAAAATGTAAATGCTATATTTTTAATTTAGTTTTCAGAGGCTGGAGAATCCGTTGCAAATATAAAGACCTTCTAGATGCCTGGAGACAACTCAAACTCTTACCAGAGCAGGATTATCGGCGAATGGTTGAAAAACGTTTGAGGATTCTTCTCGGACCTGAGCCCTCGTTGACCCCTTCGCCAACTTACGAAGCGATTCGAGCGAGTTTTGAAATGCCTGTTGTTCCCCCTCAAAATTCGAGCACACGTACACCATCTAGTGACAGCGGATATTCTCAAGCGAGTTGCACAAACGGTAACGAGAGTATGAATGAGAAATTAACTGTTTATTATGACGAAACAACGTCTAAAAATGTCATTGTTAAAGAAAATGTCATTGACGATGACCTTGAACCCTATGAGCATGACCTTCACTTTCATTTGCACCCTGCAGTGATCACATCGAAGTCACCAATACATGACCATAATCGTTTGAGTGGAACAAGCTCACCTAAGCATGACCATAATCGTTTGGGCGTTACAAGCTCACCCATACGCGGTCAAATCCTACCTGGTACCTCGTATTCACCAATTGGTATTCCGAATTTATCTCTACATAATGATAGCATGACAAGCTCACCAATGCATAACAGTCACATGACAAACTCATCCATGCATGACTCTGTTCACATGACTACATGGAAATCAGATATGGATTTACCTTTGGAAAGACTATTGCATTCAGGCAGTGGAATTAGACATGCAAAGTTGGTCCGCAGTTGCACAAGTTTGGACAAGGTCGCAGAGGTCAAAGGTGAACCTCGCAGGTCAACATCAATGCCAAAAATACCGAGAGGTCCTGGTGTTATATACGCGTGGCACAACCGAGCTGTTATCTCTATGATGACCTCTAAACGACCTATGTCCTTGTCATCTGACCCCATGACCTTGATCGAAATGCAGTATAATGAAAGTTCATCAGTTTTGACAACACCGTTTTCTAGTCTCAGAATCCCGAAACGCAGCCAGGGGCATCATCGTAGAGTGAAGCATCGCCATAGTGATAGACATGCTCGATTGAGTCCACCACAATATACTTCGTACTCTTGGTCACCCACTCGGTTTAAAAGGATTCCTAAGAGTGGAAGTAACTGTATTTTAAAATACGCTGATGTCCCTCCAAAGACACCAACGAAAAATTAAAGACTTTTCATAAAATTCATGCATACTACTTTGACATGACCTTGAGATTTTTTCGTACTGTGTTTTACACCTCCACATCTAATAATGCCGTGTACAATCAGCCGAACTAAAAAGCTGATATTTTTGATAAGTATTGTATTCTTTGGTTTAAACACAATCCAAAAACCAATACAATCTTCAAATTGTATATGTGTATATTTTTTCAGTGTATTCATGCCTTCACATCTGATAAAGCTATAAAAGCAGCAAGTGACACCAAAAGCTAATATTTTTTGAAAAAACCATAATCTTTTTCGGTCCGCCATATATACATTGACTTGGCGGGCTTAAAAGTTCTTAGATCGCCTCATTTTAAATTGAAATTGTTCAAATGTATAAACTGAGCTCTTGATGTTTTTTTTTTATCCAATGTACAGTTATCAATCTGTAGTTCTCATGCGAGACATTCAATTATTTCCCTCTGTGTTGATGAACTAAGGCATATGTATTGTACTCACTCTTTGTATACAATTTTGGGGGCTCCCGAAGTCTGCGAACCAAGATGGCGGACATCGGAATGTAATATGTGTACTAGGTTAGGGTTAGGCCATAATTTTAGGTATAAATACTATGGGAGGCTCTTGGCTAGTCTTCGAACTGATAATAGGACTAAAATAAGGAAAATTGGAAAGAAAATATCGCCTAACCCTAACCTGTTACCCATGTTACGTTCCGATGCCATCTTGGTTCGCATACTTCGGGAGCACCTAATTTTGTTTGTATACCAACCTGCAGCTTATACTTTTTAGGCATTTACATGACTTTAGTTGATTTTGCATAGCTTTGCACTTTATTTAGATTAATTGCAGTATATAGTGTATTAATTTGTATTTTTTGATGTACAGGCCCTGTGGAGTAGGGAGGGGACTTTCCCAGTAGAAATTTTTCAGTGTGTATTTACTTTTATTTGCTAAAATGGAGATTTAAAGTGGGGAGGGGGTTTTCCCAGAGAGGAAGAAAACTGTATAATGTATATTTGCTGGAACACAGACTCAAAGTAGGGAGGGGACTTACCCCATAAAGTGTATATCTGCATATATTTGCTGGAATACAGAGACTCAAAATAGGGAGGGGTCTTTCCCCAGTAGAAAAAAATTGTGAAATTTGCATGAACTATGAATTTTTCATATAAAAAATCAAAACTTTTCAAAGATAAGATAAGGCTCGAATTCCAGAACCAGAACCACACTTTCACAAGTTTCATTCTATCACCCAATCATCCCCTACGATCATTCGATCTAATTTTGTTTTGAGAGCCCAAGTAATTGTAGAGTCAATGACTTGGCCCATGTCTACCGACACTGTCAGATTTGGTACTTTTAAATAACAGTCGTACCACTGCTCTATTGTGTTAAGGCTTAAGCCAGTCAACCATAGACTATAGTCTTCACAACTCTGGTACTCACTTAAATGGACTTTGCCTCTGTTGTGTTATATGTATGTCTGTATTTGTTCACTGCCATTGCATAGTCCTTTTTGATTCAGAAGCGACATTCTTTTACCATTACTTGTTATACTTCTCTTCTTTGCTTGTACCTTTGCCACAAAAACAATTTTGCATGCATGCATGTCTGAGTGTAATTTCTTTTTCACTCATCTCATTTTTTAGACCTATATTTCTGGGGTAAAATTTTTTGAGCCCCATTGAATCTGGTGCTGTTATTAATCATATTTTTATACATATGACTTGCTGGTGCTGTATTAGTTCCTAATCCTTTTGAGTTACCCAGTCTTTTTTGGGGGCTCCCGAAGTATGCGAACCAAGATGGCGGACATCGGAATGTAATATGTGTACTAGGTTAGGGTTAGGCCATAATTTTAGGTATAAATACTACGGGAGGCTTTTGGCTAGTCTTCGAAGTGATAATAGGACTAAAATAAGGAAAATTGGAAAAAAATTATCGCCTAACCCTAACCTGCTACCCATGTTACGTTCCGATGTCCGCCATCTTGGTTCGCATACTTCGGGAGCACCCTTTTTTGAATGAATTTCTACTTTTGATGTTTTGGTCCTACTCAAGGGAGATTGATGAACAAATTATTTTTTTAATTGTATTTTTAAATCTGAAATGAAAGACTATGTTTACTCTATCCATTTGCCTAAAGTTTGAAATCTAACCTAACCCAGAACATACAACAATTCCCCAAAAGATATTATGAACCCCACTTCATAGGACAGTACTAACCATTTCATTTTGTTTACCAAGTCTTTTTTATCTATTCCAAACCAAAACATATCATTAAAGCCTATTTAAAACTCAGAACAGTCCTTAATCAGCTTATTTATGTAATGTCATATTTCCAATCAAGACTGGTGGTGCTTAAGAAATATTTAGGTTCTCCTAAAGTATGTGCACCTAGATGTCGCACAACCTGAACCCTAACCTGGTACACAGCCTGAGTTCAGGTTGTGCGCCATCTTGGTGCGCATACTTCAGGAGGTCCAAAATTTATTATTTTAATGTTAATGACAGGTGAGTGAACATTGCAAAATCTTATCTATTGGTGCACTTTGTCAGCACTGTGATGGGTTTTTCATTATTGTAGAAAATTTCACTAATAAATTTGTTTGCGAGTTTATGGATGTTTTTTTTCTCTTTGTTGTGTGTTTTTAGGATCTGGGAAGAGAAAGGGTAATTTATTTACCAAAAGTTCAAGGAATGGCTTTTGAGATATGTTCTTCCTAAATGCACTGATGATCTATGCATCTCTTGATCTATCTCATGACTGGGGGAAATGGAACAGACAAATCAATCTGATGAGGGTAGTATTTCTAGGCGGAATGGAAAGCGATGAGTTGGTAAACTCTTTGCACAGAGTATGAGCAGACGAAAAGCTGATTTTTATTTTTTTCAAGCATAATAGCAATTTAACCGCTTCGTATGAGGGATATAGTACAGAATACCCACAATCATGGCAAACTCTTTGCTTATTAATAGCGGATAAGACTCGACGTAGTCGGGTTGAAGAAAAGATCAGTATGTATTTTTTCACCATAAAGAAAATACACGCGAACAATGAAATGAAGAAACTTGAATATGGCATTTTAGGGTGAAAGGTGGCGCGAGCACCCGTGATCTAACAGTAATTAATATATTATCAGTGTAGCAATATTGTGTTAATTACTTTAGATCAGTTTGTTTTCATCAATGATTACTCTGTCTACACCAACGACTAACATACCGTCTACACCTTTAATTACTGAAAAGAGTCTAGCATATATCATGAAAAAAGTTTACAGCAAAACAAACGACGTAGTGTGTTGAAGAAAAGATTTTAATTAACATATGCGTAAATGTGAAAAATATAAAATTGTATGCATTGATTGTTGAAAGTTTTGTAGAATAAGTAGGCCTACACAAACACTGGTGTTATTTCCGTTTTGTAAATTTTTACCTTCGGCGTGTATAATTAAATTGGGTATCATATACCTGTACAGATTATTAAGTAATCTACTTCAGACAAAACAAGATTCAAAAAAGACGTTTCAGATTGGATTGAAATATCAATCATGTGATGATACGCTGGTCATCGGACATATCTAGTTAAGTTCGACCAATCTAATTATTTTTGTCCGAAATTTCGGCGACCTGGCCCCTCTTTATTGGGCAGACATATAAAAAATGATTTAATTTGTAGGGAATGTACATAAGATATGTATTGCCAATTATAGGCAATGTTCATACTAACCGTTGCGTAATAAAATTGATAATCTCCATGCTTATCAGCTCATATATGAATTGATGGACCTTTCCCCGACCTTTGACCCCTGAAAAATTCTTCTTATACTTTACCATTGCAAAATTTTCGGGGCTATTTTAAGAATGCTTTTGCGAGTTGGCGCCTGTAAAATGGAGTATGTGTTTCAAACCATCATTATAATTCATCGCATACAACAATCTGTTTTAATATGTACCGGTAAAGAATTTTAGCCTAGTCTATCACAGCTATTTCTACACTAATTTTTATTACTGCAATTAAATTAAAACTCCTAGGAAGACAGGGTGACCATTGAATTATCTGATTTACATTTAAGTTTCCAAAACACAACTGAAAACTAACGAATAGAGTTAAAAAATGCGAAAACGAGGTAGTGTTTACGACCACGCTTGAAAATCTGTCTGAGTGAGAAAAGTGTCTGAGCGGATGCGAAAAGGGAGCATTGTTACGTCACTTTTTGCAATTTGCTGATCGGCCAATGTCACGAAGTAAACAAGGAAGTCGATGCTCGGGGAAATGTCCATTGATTGATATATCTTGGTTTATGTGCTAGGGAAAGTCTGTAACGCATTGTTGAAATATATTATCCTTGGACTTCTTTACAAGCGTTAAGAAAACGGAAACCACTGGTAAGACTTTCACGTATATACCTATTAATAAATATACTTATACTTATATACTTATACTTAATTAAAAGAAGAATGTGACACGTGTTTGCTCACCAAAACACATCCTATTTTGAACCTAATGTTCCAAAAGCTTCCTACTAGTTTAATTAAAGACGTAGTAGGTAGTACGGTGCTTAGACTACAAAAATTATTTTAAAATTTTCTCATATAATGATTAACAGCCAGCCTTCTTGTCAAATTTGAGCGTAAAAATTTTCTTTATTTGTCGACATATGTGTGGCGGTACCGTACTTACCACAAACGCTGGGTAGATTTCCAATCATGTATATATTTACGATGAAACTAATCGTCAGTGCGGCCAAATTTTACTTTATCGTGTTGGCATTTTTGTTGAAAATATTTTAAAATTCATGTTAGGTCGATGCTGGATGTCAATGCTTCACTCAATTAAGCAAAAAGAAATGGTCATGGGACTACACGCAGTTCTGAGTCATAGCCTACTAGTACTTTTATATACGTTACCCGGTACCGGTACCCGTACAGATACAATATTCAGATATTGGTGTAATTAGCATTTACCCGGTACAGATTTATGTTACCGTACGGTACCGGTACCTGCAGATCGGTACCGTACTTTCAGACTTCGGTACCATACCAGTCAGCCAGTGTACCGTAAAAGCGCCTAACTTCGGACAAAATTACTATATTTTCGTCAATAACTCGGCCATTTATTGTCCAAACGGTGCCAAAATTGCTCGGTAAAACATTCGTGCGGTAATTTACATTCCCTGCAAATTCCGGTTCAATTGGACTATTTTTACTATTGAAATAATCGATATTTCTTGCCATCAGACCGTTATCCTTCACTGCCCTAACTTCGGACAGTCATTTTCTTCACTGCGTAACCGCGACGCACAGAGAGAAAGAGGCTTCCGATGCGGATGACGTAATCACGTCGTTGTGCGAAGATAAGACGCTCGATCGTCGTCGTAACGTAACATTGACGTCACGACGAAAATGCATTATTTGAAACTTCCGTCATCCTATGTTTACATCTTTCGTTCGTTATTTTCGATACTTCAGATGAGTATAATAACACGTTAGTCATTTTAATCAGGAAATGCATACGTAAATATATCTGATGCAAACCGTTTCAATCCACAATGAAGTATTTTAACGGGCTTCTATCGAAGTCTTTGAAGTATTAATATTCTCAACCGATAGCTTTTTTTTATTCTGCGCGGTTATCTTTATAAATGATAATTTATATCAAACACACGGTAAATCCGATTGTAAAGTTAATTTGAAATTCAACTTAATCTTGTAAACATGTAGGTCCCGTTTATTTGTTGGAGATTAAATTTATTTTTAATTTCGAGTGAATAAAATTCACCCAGGCCGTATTCAATAACTGTCATTTCGACTACTAATCATAAAATAATGGTTAAGTCAGTGCACTGTGCCATATGGACGTTGGAATTATCATAGTTTTATATATTCGATTTTTAACGTCATCGATTAAGTGTGACATGTATTTTCATTAATGTAATTTTGGCATATATTCATACATGACCGAACAAAATACAAAAATATTACATTGGAACGCCGTCTTTATCTTAACGGAAATTGTCATGTTGGCTCCGTTGTGTCTGGCGTCAAAATTCATTTCCGCGACGCAGTGTGACGTCGTGTCGGAAGTGAGCGAAAAATAATCTACGTGAGGTTGACGTAATTTTTGACGCTGCGTGAAATCTTAATATTCTTACGGAATTTATAATTCAGAATTTTAGGTTTTATTTAAATCTCGTACGACATCTTGCGATCACTCAAATAAATTATATACATTGTTGTCGCCCTCTACCGAATGATGGTATTTTGACGATGATAGCTTCAGTAGGAGCAACGCTCTGCGCCGTTGAATGCCGGGCAGTCAATTTTCGGCAAAATTTCCGTTTTTTTACCAAAAAAATAATTATGCAACATTAAAAAAGATGAGAATAGATGTAGATATAACAGCGCAACCTATATTAATTGAAATTATCAATATACGGCGCGTTTTAGCCAAGATATGACCGTTCAAATATTTTGTCCGAAGTTAGGAACTGTCCGAAGTTAGGCGCTTTTACGGTACGGTACTTCATCAGGTACGGTACCGGTACGGGTATGTTTCAATTCAAGATATTTCAGCTATAAGTAAAAATTGATTGATTTTTATGTTCATTAATATTTCAACATTTACCGTATTGGATGATATAAAAATGTTGTTTGATTTTTTTCATGCAACTTCCATACAGTACAGCAGTACAGCAATATGGTACCGGTACCGTACCGGTACTCATACAACAATAGCTACCCTACTAGTATGCTTTATGTTAAAGTTTAGTGCTCAATCCTCATGTGGCAATAAAAAATATAGATCCTATACCAGTATACAGTGTTCTATGATCTTATTGATAAGGGTTCAAGCAGGAAAGATCATTTTTTAATCCATTCTATGGCTTTAAATAATTCAGATTTAAACTCTAATCTCCTTTTTATATGAATTGATCCCAGGGGTTCCTGAGACTACGGCTTATCTCTTCAGAAATGAATTGCATTTTGGCTGTCTTCCATTTTGTGATAGAATGTGGATTTTATTGAAATAGTTGAGTATTCTGGTAGGGTTAACGGGTCTGGTATAGTTTAGTAATACATGCACCTCTAGTTAGCCTGGCTCAACAATTTTTGCATATGTCATTCGTAACCCTCACCTGACTACGTCACCAAAAAATTACGTCACTACGACGCCACAGTGGCGTAATAAATATCTACAAATGGTACGGATGGTCGTCCAAAACGCGCAGACGATCACCCGAAATCTAGCGAGCTATTTCTCTCGTTTTCTCGTCGCAAAAATCCCGATATGAGACTGGCGTTAAGTGAGTTTGGTATTGTCGGTGCAGATGCCATTTCGGACGATAGTAGCTATACTTGACAAGCTCTATGACGTGATTGTGACGTCGTAGTGACGTAATTTTTGGATGATATAGTCAGGTGAGTGTTAGGAATAACATATCTAAAATTCGTTATGCTACGCCCACTGGAAGTACTTGTGGTACTAAACTATACTAGACCCGGGTTAACAGCCTTTGCAGACCATGATAGGGCATGGGACAATTTGATTTAGAAGCTTGAGTGAATGTTATAGCTAGATTACCTTTGAGGTTTTTAGTGACTCCCTTCAACC